CATCATCCTAAATTTCTTTCTCTTTTTGAACTTGAAAAGTCTATTTGAAATGTTTTCTAACTTTTGAATCTGTGACCCAGATCCTTCAGTACTTCAATACTGAAAATCTCTTCAGTAATACTTTCACAAAATTGTTCTCCAACACTGACTTTTACCAAATGAACTTTGAAGTTTTGTTATTGCTCGCAATTTAATATTTTCAATGCAGCAAGTTTGTTATATTTTGTTTAAGGAGACGAACAACTAGAATTCCAAATGTCACTATCACCAAGTGCAACAACTAATTTTAGTCCATTTTTCAGTAACTTTCTTATAAGCTAGATTTCAATCAGTTAGAACAAATCAAAGCCAGCAAGAACATTGGTCCCAAATTCAAAGGGGCTTTGACACGGCTTCCTAGTTCATTTTGCTAATATTGCCAATTATATACAAGTCCTTATTTGGAATGGAATTTAACGATAGCGACGAAATTACTGACAAATTATAAATTAAAGCTTCATGTCAAACTGAATGTGTCTCCCAAGCATTAAATCAAACGTTACAGACAACAAAACTAAACTTTGAAAAACAGTTAGGCTATGAAGTTCTCAAAAACCACAATGTTTAATCCGTTTCAGTCCTCATCAAGTTTGTCCATCCGTGCCTTCCTTTACATTTGATGTGTTATTTACACCTTCTTTTAATGTTCTCAGCTGTTATTTTTATGTTTCACTCAGTTTAGTGGAAACTGCCACCGTTTGAAATTTGATGAATTTTGTGACAGCACCGAAGTGTTTCATCTGCTAACCTAACACCGAGAAGTGTGCCTCTATCTTTCAACCAACTTTGAGTCTGGATAGCTGATAACTCTGTCTAAATGAACACTGAATTAAGGTGTTCTCTTCTTACAAGTTCTTTGTGCAGAACCTCCAAGCAAAAGTCTGCAAAATGTTGTAATAACAAAAATCGCAGCTCGCCCCAAACCCTCTTCGATTTATTTATTTCTTCATGAATTATTTTCAGTTTGTGGGTGATATTTTACACAGTCACATTTCCCCTGATGCTATGCAAATAAATAATTTGTTCAGGTCACATCCTTCGGCACAAAAATAACAGAAACAGTTAAATATAGTTCTCCTGATTGACGAGAAATAGCGAACCTTTGATACATCGGATATACCGTTATACACTTTCAGGAAATATCAATCACATAAAACAAAACTGAAAGCAAGGCTGACATTACGGCAAAGGGCTGATTTATTATAGGCCAATATCTCGGCTAACAAAATTAGCCTTCCTCAGGGCCAAAGCTATACCGAGAGAAAAGATCTTTTAACGGCTCCTAAAATTTGAATTTAAAATTCATATAAGTGGTTAATTATTAACATAGCTTAAAGAACGAGGTATTTCACGAAAAGGCTTTTGATAACTCCACTAGGGTCTAAAAGGTAACGTCTGGAATCCAGTGGAGTATGTTGGACATTCTATCAAAGAGACTTAAAAGGCAGAACCAACTTGTGTAGCATGATCCGTAAAGGGTAACAGAAAATGAAACTGCTCAGCAGTTTCACATGAATGCACCCAATTTAGGCCGGATTTCATCCCCAAACTAACACTTCAAAACCACTTTGCACAGTATATAATGAACAGTACCAAAGAAAAGTACTGCTCAGTTGCTTTCATTTGAATGATCACACCATAGGATTTCATCCATTCACTCAAATGTTAGAACCACCTTGTGCAGTATAAAATAAAATAGCCACCAGGAAACTACAACTCAGTCCTTTTATTAAGTATATGTCAAAATATATGATTATATGCACAGATACCAAGGAAAGCACTGCTCAGTAGCGTTGACTCTTTACGGTTTCAACTAATGCGTCGTTAAACCTATGGTGAGCAGAGAATAAACTCCAGATAAAAAAAAGATAATCTTTTAGAAAAATTTGAAGAAATGAATAGCACTATACAAAAGTTGTGCCCAATGGGTTTAATTTGAATGGAACATCATAGGATTTCCTTCAGAGATATTAAAGTTTCAGAGGCAAATAATTATCTTACACACAGTCTCCGGATCGCCGATTGTAGAAAGTTCACCCATTCGGTGTTCCGTCCCACGTATCATTACACGTTTCTGGGTAACTGACCACCTACCCCTCCCCTATAGAGCCAAAATTAACACTTAATACTCACTTAGGGCAAAATGTTGGCTTAGGGGAGGGGTAGGTGGGCAGTTTCCCAGAAACGTGATGATCCCTGACCGTTTGTAGGACAACTACAGGATTCGTGCGTAGTTTTCTTAAACCCTACGTATTGTAAAAGGAACCGTTTTATGCCGGAATTAAGCGAAAGGTGGTATGCTACTCGGCCAGGATCTTTAGAACAAGTTGATCAATACTTTGTTCAGCAACATGTCGGTTTTTCCCTTCTTTTTGTGGTCTTCATTAATTTAGTTTGCAGGCAGAGCCCAGAAAATTTTCAGAAAGACCTACTGTCATATACTAGTTCCAGCCAATTGTATTTAGGCAACTCAATTTGCTTTGCGTAAGACTAACATAGAGGAAATTCTAAATAAGCGGATCTTCACGCCCATACAGCCTAAGCTCATTTATATTCCAGAAGGTTTTGTTCTAGAAAAAGATGAAAAAAACCTTACACGATTTGCTTTACAGCTACAAAAGCTGACAATATTTTGGAACTTCAGGAAATTCTACTTTCTATCTTAAAAATCCCTCGCAACATTCCCCCCTGCTAGGTATTGGTGCCATGAAGAAGCGAGCGCGCGACCTCCCGCTCTGCAGCCAAGAGCTTTACCAACTAACCTAACAGTACGGTGATAAAAAAAACAAAAAAAACAAAAAAGAAAGAAAAGAAACAGAACCATCTCATAACTTCATAACAAAAAATGCCAAAAGAAGAAAGCTCAGGTTTGACTTTGATAGTTCCCATTTAAGTTTCAGTTTTTTCATACATACATTCGAAAGTTCGATAGGGTGTAATCAATCACAGGCCTACGTTTTCGCCGCTGCGACTTTCGTTTGTCTCACAGTATAAAGTCAGGTCTATTCACGGAAACTCAGTCAAGAAACAGTCCATAAAAACATCTCTTGATATTGCCCTGATATTGATATTGGTCTAATGCTTGGGAAAATTGTGGCTAACAGATACCGCCTTTCGCGGAGTGTTTTCTACCTTGATAATCTATAGCACCTCGGGCTAGCCAAAGAATTAAGAGGCTCGGATAAATTTGTTAATTATAGTTTTGAAAAGGTGATTTATAACTGAAAAGTAGCGATAAACGAAGGTATTAGAAAGGTCGAAATATCCAGGAGTTTATAATCCCAAATACGCCTGAATGTGTTATTTTAGCAAGCGAAACGTAAGGAGTGATGGATCAATTATGACTGAAAATAACGTTAACAAAGAAACTGATGAAACGCTTTCAAGTGCTATATCACGCAGTATTTTTAGTATCTTTGACAGCAAGTGAACAGTTTGTAATTGGCTTTAACTGAACGACATATAAAAATAACTCTTCAAAACAAATTCCGCAATTGCATAAGCAATATATGGGAGCTGTCTTATCCATATTTTATTATGCAGAAACACAAAAGCAGTGAAAAGTCTGTTAATTGAGTTTACAGTTCTTATCTATTTAACACCTAATAAAGAATACAAAGAATGTAAAGGCAAGTAGACAAGGCAGACCGAGCCGTCGAGGCGTCTTGCGATCTTAATAAAAAAAAAAGTAATTGTCTTTTTTTCCCCCTTATCGCAGTGATGTGGAAAAGCAAAGCTTCGCCGCGATGCTGGTAGTTCGTAAACAAGGTCGGAGAATTTGTTTTCTTTTCCCCTGATATCTAAAATTATTTCCCTGCCGGGCTGATAATGTCTTCATTCTTGGAGTTATTCAGAGGTGTTGAAGTGTACACTGTTGAAAGATTATGTATGTGATAAGAGTAATTAAACTAGTAACTTTAAGCGACAGAGTCAATCGCGCCCAATTGGATCAATATTATGTAGTTCTAACTTTTGCAACTTGTTGACAAAATAACAAAGTGTGACCATTCAATGGCAAGTCATAACTTAGTACTTTGCTTAATCTAATTCATCCTGATAAAATTTAAACAGTTATTTAGAAAAAAAAAAGGGTTAACCAGTTGTACTGTTAAAATCTAACTGACAAATGACAAGGAAAGGAAATTTAACAAGGTTATAAGCCATAGGCGTCAGTTAAGTGACTTACTTAAATCGTTGAAAATTAAGCCAATTTTTGGAGGCCTTGTGTGGCGGCGCCGGCATGGCTGGAGTAATTCAACAGATCATTCTTGATAATGAATTGAATAAACTTTGCACTTAGTACTGAAATCCTTGAAAATTATGCTGTCAAGTTGTGTGTACGTAACACCGCGAAGAAATTAAAAACAAATTAGCAAACTATAGCCAAAAGTGTTCTCTCTATCGGACATGCGGCGCTCCACGAGAAGTTTAAACATATAGATCGCTATCAACACCCAACTATGAGCGATTAAATCCAAACTCCTTTTGTTCATTCAATTCGGAGGCAAACAAAGAAATGCGTAGACAAATAAAAGAAAGGAAAAACTAAGCCCACATTATGATATAAACACCAGTCACTTACAAAAAACTATTCCTCGTGGCACTAAACAATAAAGCAGTAAACTCAAGTTTTACCAAGCACCCTAAGAAGCATTCGCCTCCGTATGCGTGTATGTGTATATGAATATGTACCTATTAAGGCCGGCGTCTCGACGGGTCCCGCAAGGGGGGTTTTTGCGAAAATCCCTGTTGACAATTTTTCCTGATTCGTGGGCGACGGCGATGCGCAATAATGAATGACGGCCGGGGTAACACGTTGGAATTTTGGTATGAGCCAGCTTAGGGCCAAACACGGTAATTAATGTCATTTGGTAATCGATTAACATTCGCGTGCTTGACTCAAGTAGAACCAGCGATACATCACATAAGGCTGGCCTCCGCCTACAGGCAACGCGTCGGCGCCGAGAGGTCGGGTTATTTGTGACGGAAGTGGGAAAAATCTGTTGAAAAGCGACACACACACGCTTTCTTGTCATTACATAGCCCAAGCTTGGACACTTAAGACCCACTGAAGTGGTATACGTAATCGGGTTAGGTCAGGGTTTGATTGAGACTACGGCTAGAGACTGTAAGAACCTAAACAACATCTTGGCATGTTTCACTCAAGGCAGGCTAACTTACAGCTGTTAGCTTCAGCGGCGTTTTTACTGCTAATTTCGCAGGCGGCCTCGACCGCACCTGGACTTGAAGGTTTGTAGGGCCTAGCATTTTGCCTATACCAGGCTAGGTGGCTGTATTAGCCCGTAGGAGAGCTATTTAGCAGTCACTAACTAACACTGTCTTTACTGCAGGGAGTCTGGTATCATGCTCTGTTGAGAACGAAGTCATTGACCTACCAATTGGGCCGGGAAATCCTTGTTTCGTGTGCCGATGTAAGGTTTGTGTGAACGCTTTCTTTTTTCCTATCAAGGTATTCGCCTTAGGACGTGACAACACAATGCACCGTCGTTCGATAAGGAATGCATGCCCAGATGACACGAGTTTGGCATGAAACCGAAGCAGATCTATAAAAAGGCAGCAAAGGGTTTTTATAGGATTAGGAAATGACCAAAAATGATGTTCAAATTTCAACGTAAACATTCGGAGGGTGGAAACCCAAAGACGCGGTATTTACATTTCACACGGAAAAAAGGTAATTGATGAAAACCCGTGCGCGTGTGAAGAAGATAATGCACTCGCGGTGCCTGAACGAGAAAAGACTAAAATACGCGTGCAAATATTCCAATTTTTGTCCCGCACAATAATACCGTATTGATTTGTTTGGTTGTTTCGGTTATGAGAACTAATTACACATAATTGCAGAAACACTTGGTGGCACTGTATTCTTTATTTAGATAAAACACCCAGGCACCGCTACATAAAACACGCGGCCCGTGTATCTATTTTGTATACATTACGAAATATCCAAAATTGAAAGTAACGTAATATTGAGCCAGAACGCTTTTTCTTATCAGCTAAAGGTCGAAGCGATTCGGTCGGTGGAATACTTACTTTTGAAGTGCTCAAATGACGATGTCGTTGGTATGCAAAGTAAATTGCTTTACACTCATGACGAAGTACGTATAACGTCAAGTTTCAAGTTTCTCACATGTATCACAAAAAAGGAACAATCAAAGCACTTATAAATCTTTCAAGCTTGACTTACAAGTGAAACAAAAACGAGAGCTATTTCAGTAAAGTATATACAGCCAGTTTCGTAAATTCCAGAAGCAAATCAAATTGCAGGAATTCGCTCATGAAAAAAAGCGGGAAAAAAGGAACATGCACGCAATCCTTTGGCAAGGCCTCTTCTCAGTGCACGTTAAAAATTGAATTTTCTTTCAGGAAGAAAATGTGCTGTGATACGTGGCCGTAGTAATGACATTTTTGCTTTAAGTGCGTGCTTAAAAGGTTCTGTTTGGTATCACGTGAAAAAGGTTTTGAGTATATGCAAGAGTGTTCTGAAGAACAGCACTCCTAATGAAAGCTGTCAACATCAAGACTCGTGACATTGCTGAAGAATCTACAAACCATTCCTTAACCCTGTTACTTTTAAACTGGTAACCATACGAACACTTCATCACAAAAATCAAACTTCTTTCAAGTCTTCTTGTCTTTAAAATCCTCAGAAATAAATAGTACCACGCAAACATTCTGCCAAAGGAGTTTGATTTCAATGGTAACCTCATAGGATTTCGGCGTCCACAGGCTTAAATGTTCGAGCGACAAGTAATCCATGATGTGGTCTAGGACTAAAAGGGTTAACCTTGAACCTTTTGGTTTTTACATTACGATGTTGTCAAAAGAATAAAGAACCTCTTAACTGTTAACAGACCTCAAGAGTTATTTCAGTCGGGTGAGATGGACAAGAAAAGGTTACAACGTTATAGTCAATGGAGGAACACCTATCATATTGCCATTCAAATTAGACCTCTTTGGCAGTACGTTTGCATGGTACAATTTAATTTACGAGATTTGTCCAAATGAAAGGTGAAGTTTTTTCTAATGTTTTTTTCACTCTCATGGAAAGGATTGACAGGCTAATAAGTACAAAAAATGACCTGTCACTGATAAACAATCGAACGGATGGCAGAAGAATCTAAACCTTTTAAACACTGTTACACTGCACACGCCGCATTCCTTTCCACGTTAAAAAGAGTAGTGTCGCGGTTGTCGATTTCATTTTGTTTCAACAAAATAATAAAGCCAGTTAAGCGTCCTTTTTTGCTATGAAATTTGAGGAATTACTAGTGAATGGCCAAATCACAGCTTTGTGTCGAAGGAATATGTCTCCCAAGCAATATATCAAACGTTACGAGCAACAAAAATGAACTTTAAAAACCAAACCGTTAGGCTGAGAAGTTTCAAAAAGCTCAATTGCAATCCCTTTCGATCTTCTCCAAATTTGTGCTTCCAAATCTGTGCTTCCTTTGGTATTTGCTGTGCATAAAAACCTGTGGAGTGACCATTCAAATGAAACCTCTACAGCAATTCTCTCATGGTACTACTTAATTAGGTTTAGTTCGTTTACTTTGGAGTCTGTGTAAAGAAACCAGTGGTGTGGTAATTCAAATGAAACCTCTCTGAGAGTGCTTTCCATACTATTTATTTGTCTGCAAGCAAAGTGAAATTTGGATTTTTTGCCGATTTTTGTATTCATCCACTCCTGGGAAATAACTTTTCAACGATCATATGGCGATCACGGAGATCAATGTGGACGGTAATGACCGCTGAGTTAGACTTCAGTTTTATCAAAGGCTGGTTCCCATGAAAATCTCCACGATATCGCGACACGATCGTTTAGATTGTCAGCGATCATCAAAGATGGAAACCACGCTTTGAACACGCAGTTGCACAAGCCTTACTACGAAACGGCCCTTGTTGTGTTAGTCTGGCAAAACGGCGACACCTGTCTTGTCATACTGAAGAAAAATCACCTCTTGGTCGCACCCAATACGACCTCCGTTTAGTAGACAGTAAGTGCTGCACATGACTGCTTTTTTTATGATAAATACGCATTTTCCGCGCATTTCATTCTCCGAGGAATGCTCAAACTTGAGGAACAATCCAATATGAGTGGAAAAATACAGAAAAAGGGGGTACCATTTGAAAAGACAACGAAAAAGATGTAGTTAAAATGGTTACATCGCAGAATTTCCTCGGTTCATAAACTCGACAACTAGAAACGTACGGCATTTCACCGCGAGTGAATGAAGCCGTGTTGAGTATGGTTTGCATAAATCAAATTTTTGAGAATTCTAACTAAGTCAGGCTTTTCAAGCGAGAATTGCTATGTATTCTTTTTCTTCTCCAACCAAATAAGTCATACAGAACTGATGAAAACAAGATAAGAGGAACACCACTTTCGTCTGTCGTCAAACTTAAATGAACCTGAACTATTCGAAGAATTAATTTCCCGTGCCAAATACCAAATTACTGTTCCTTTCACTATGAATACTAAAAAAATATAACAGACTAAGGTCGAAAGTGATAAAAGCTGGCAAGGGACCATAGAAAATACGAACCAATGATAATCAATAAAGTCGATGACTAAAAGACTCCAGACACCCGAAGTAAGATTCTATTATCCGAGTCTTTTATCAACAAAAATGAAATTATTATTTATTTCTCTTTGGCGAGAAGGTGCACCTTTCATTGTTCCAAATATGTTACGCACAAATGTCCAAGCCTTTCTTCCCGGATGTTCGGTCCATATGTTCTAGGCGTTCGATTTCGTAACAGATCTTTAAAAAATTCAAGATTTTCCTCATATTGCTTTAACTGGTGACACGTTCCACATTACAAAACATTAAGTTTTAACTCGTTCTTCTTATTCCGGATGAAAAAGTGAGAACAACTGTAAATGTTATAAGGAAGTTTCGAGAATAGAAAATTAAAAAAAACGCTAAATGGTTAATTCGAGAAGGCACTTCCTATCTTCCCACACACCAAAATTTCAAGGAATAATGCTTTGTTTCTTTTTTGTAAAATACTAAAAAACAAGAAGTACAATGTGAAAGAAATGCTGAAGAGGTTTCATTTGAATGGTGACACCGCAGGATTTTGTTCAGAGATAGAAAAATCAGTACAGCACAATGACTCTACCAGATAAGCTGGCGTTTAGCGCAGAGGCGTGTATAAATGGATATGAAACTGAAAGACGCCTAACCCAGGGATGTGACGGTAGCGGAAAGTAAATATTGGGGCAAAATTAGCCTCTAAATTCTGGCACGCGCAATTTGGCAAACTTTGCCCTCGGAAATCCGCTAAAAGACTGCGCTCTCCCGCATGTAAAAGGTTCACAGTCGTCTTTTTATCAGTGCTTATAAAAGACGGCTAAAAACTTTTGATTTCCATTAACACTGATGTCAAAATTCCACGAAACGGCTAAAAAAGATAGTTCTTTTTGTTTGTTTTTCCCCTACTCAATTACTGCAGCTGTCTCATTTTTAAATACCCAAGAAAAAATAGCCAACCTTTCGACAAAGCAATTATTCTTCTCTTCGATCAAAATTGGATTGGTAGAATTTTAGCAACTGTGGCTGATATACATGTAACCCGCTTAACTTTAACTGTTTGTTGAAAGGTCATTGTTGTCTTCTCAGTGTAAACAATTTCTAAGCATGAAGTGGATTAAACAACAAGATCAGAAGAATTGACCCAATTGGATTTCGGTTGTCTGCTCAACTATAAAAATATTTCAAAGCCTACTATCACTCTAAACATCTAGTTAGTTCTTTCTGGCGACTTCTTCAACTTCAAATGCAGAGAAGTGGAAGGAAAGAAAATTAATAGAGCCAATCAATGTAGCATCGAGGAGTCTTGACTATTCACACTTTAGGGAGTGTTTCGTGCAGGTTATACCCTTCGCAATAGTTTAACACAACGTTCTCAACAAACTCATGTGTCCAGGCCTGAAAATGCAACAATTTTTAGGATTAACGCCGGCTTTGTTACACAAACACGACTGATTAAATCAGTGGACAAAGGAAATCTTTCCTGAACACAAATGTCTAAGTATAGGCTCCTCAACCTTCAGCGGTTTGTCAGTCATCAAACATATCATTTTTTCCAGGCCGGTAGCTGAGGAATACGTGAGACTATTAGTTGCTTGAGAGTTATAAATGGAGGCACACGCAAGCTAAAGTTTTAACTGCAAATTCCATTCGCTTCCCATCTAATTGGACCTCAAATTTATCTTGTTTATGAGGCTCCCACAGTCTATACAAATTGCATTTGCATAATAAACAATTTACGCGACTTTACAATGTTTAAGTTCTGTAAAAAATCAGATTGACCTGTTTATAAATATTATCAATAGAAATTTTCGCTGCTTCATCCTTCCTACTACAACCGATCATCTTCTGATGCTCTTCTAAAATATAAGGTACAGTTTACATTATAAACAGAGAGGTTAAAACATTCGATTTGGTCGGGGACAAAATCATGCGTGACCCGCCCATGCAGGTGAAACCCATTTATCAAAAAGTCGTGAAAACCATGCTTTTATATCTCGTATCTTTCTATTAATAAATCATTCTTGTCATGCTTTATCTACACTTCATTTCTAAGTGATGATTTGACTTTTCAAGCCACGTAGCAACTGCAATATGAACAAGGTCAGCTGAGGGCCAGTCAGTACCTTTCCGCAATCTACTAGCGACTTTACGATCCGACGACGTGATGGCAACGAGAACGTAAAAATACAATAGGTTTAGAGGGCTCATTGTAAATGTATTGATGTGTACTTAAGCGTTTCGATGACCAAAAACAAAAAGAGAAATTAAAAAAAGTGTTTCTACTATTAGCAAACAGTTGGAACGGTCCGTCTTCTACAGGCACTGTCACGGCTAAACTACTATTGGAGATGTTATGTGGTATCAGCAGAAATAACTAAGCTTAGCTTCAACCACCCATCACTTATTTTCAAAAAACACTTTCGGTCCATTTACACTGTCCACTGTGGAGACATGCGATATACTTGTAACTTTTGCGGCTGTGAAATCGGCTTGAGTTGGCCAATCAAATGAAAGCTGCTGAGTAGTACTTCCCTGTGCTGTTCAATTCAAGGTGGTTCTATGGAAGACACCCTTAAGCGTAACTAATCAAATGAATCGCTTTAGCAGAACTTTCGCGTCGCACTGTTTGTTTTCCAGAATTTTAGAAAGTGAAACTTGGACTCTTTCCTCGAATTTTTACGGATTTCTGCTACTTTGAGTGTAAGACTTATAATATCACTTCTTCAAACGTTGAAACGAAGAACCCTAATATCAAAATATCCAACCAAGATGGGGACACGGTCCAACAAAACTCATCCCTCAGAATTCTGAACAAACTCCACATCTCCAGTAATACTTCTAGGGGCCGCCAACTTAATCTTACGTGCTCCTATAATTCAATACTTCTCCTAATACTAAAAAACTCGCTTCATGATAAAGTTCAAAGAAGAAAAAGTTTACTGTCAACTCTCTCTTAATGGACACCTCTATAAGACGGACATCTGCCTAAAACGGAAACCTGAGGTTGGTCTCTGTTTTTCTTTACTCATTTTAGTTGACTCTCCATAAGACGGACGTCGGACGCATACAGTCAGCTCTATCTTAGACGGACACCTTTTTGACCGGCAGTATGTGTCCGTCTTAGAGAGATGTCTGTCTTTTAGAGAGTCAAAAAAGGGAGTAAACAAAGGCCGGGGCCATTCTAGATGTCCATTTCACAGAGTTGTCCGTTAAGAGACAGTTGTGCAGTGGTGGTGCCGATCCCAAAGGTGTCCGTATCAGAGAGAGTTGACTATAAAGTAGTATGAAAATACATGAGCCCTTAAAATAGCTCTGAAGATGAAACCCTTGTCATCAGTGCAGGCAGGCCTCAAATACCCCCTTCCACTATGCCTGGTACTTTCACAATCCGTTTGCATAACTTACATATTATGCAGACAACTTTGAGATCGATTTTTATCTACCTTAATTCCGAGGAATTTTACGCAAAAACTATTCTATAGACCACGAAATTTCGAGTCTTTCTTTGTTAGAAGAATGACGTCAAAACGAGATGATTATCTCTCATTTAACGATGTACTCGGTCATAACACGAAAGGAAATGCCTATAATTAACACATTGTTTACGATGGTCTAATATGTTATCTAACAAAAATATTGACACAGAAATTTCTTCTCGATAGCTAGGTCAGATTATTCATGCTCTTTCGTGCAAGGTTCTTTATCGTATAACATTATATGTCAAGCAAGTAGAACTAGATAAAGAAGTAAAGAGCTGAACAAGACTCTGTGATATTACCATCACGTGTAGTTACTCAATTCCACTTTCCTCAGCGGCCAAATTTAAATCTAAAGGGAAAAAGACCAATTTCACTTTTGTGAAACAGTTAGAAACGCGTAGTGCCGAGTACGGCTGAGTAGTTTCATTTGGGCGACTTCATCCAGAGTGAAAAGCTAGAACTCCCTGGTGCAGAATAATGAACAGTATCACAGGAAAGTACTGCTCAGTAGCTTTCATTTGAATGGTCACACCATAGGATTTCATCCACAGACTCAAAAGTTAGGACCACCTTGTACAGCATAATAAACAGCACCTCAGGAAAGTACTGCTCAGTAGCTTTCATTTGAATGGTCACACTATAGGATTTCATCCACAGACTCAAAAGCTAGAAACACCTTGTACAACATAATAACAGCACCACAGGAAACTACTGCTCAGTAGCACAATTTAACATTCAAAGATACAATTCGCCCCATCAGATCCATTTTCGGAAAAGCGTTCAAACTTCAAAGGCTATGTACCATCTAGACAGTGAAAGAAAGCAAAAAAACAGCAACAACAGCAACAACAAGGCTGTCAACTACAGCTTCAACAAAAAGCGAAAACAACGGTAACAGCTTACTAAATCTTAATTGATTTCTGTCGAGGTAATCATCTTGCTAAACGTAACACTGGTTTTACTACATTTGCTTCATTGGTGTGAACTTGGGCTTAAACTCGTTGTGATAAAAAAAGACTAGTTACAAATAAAGATGAACATCCGACAAGGAAAACAGTAAAAAACTTTAACTTAAACAAGTTCAGGGAATCAGCTAATTCGTTGAGGTTTGACCAAGCCGTTTGTGAAATAGATGACGACACATCCGTTATAACAATGACAATCCCAAGCCTAAAAATAATTTGAAAAAAAAAAAATTGCCACTTTACCAGATCGACCATAAGAAGCTTATAGCAAATGGTCTCACGTTTAGTTTTTAACGCTTATCACTTGTATTAAATGGGAGGTCAAATTTGATGCCTTTATATATAAATCGGTGATAATTGTATTAGCTAAGAGGGAGAAGTCAAAGGTATTTGAAATAGAACTGAGCTGCTATCTTTTTTATAGCCAACTACGGAGACACATGAAGACGTTTTTCTGTGGAAACAACCCTACGATGTAGTGTGAGCATTTAAACGAAATCTCTGTAAAAAAAAAAGTTTCAAGACTTAAGCGTGATGCTATTTTGTTTTACCCTAATCTGAAAGGAAGCGAAATTCAGTTGGATTTCCTGAAGTTTGCTTGTTGGTGTTTTTTGGTTTGGACTTAGGGAACATTGCACGATTTGAGAAAATTAACCAGCTTTCCTTTGTTCGTCGTTTTAGAACAAATCTGTGGAATGCACCAAAGAAGTATGTCCGAGACTGACTCCATGCAAAGGAGAGATCAAAAAACCAGAGGGAAAATGTTGTCCAGTTTGCAGTGAAACTCGAGGTATAGAACTAACTTGTATCGTCTTTAGTTAAAGGGGCTCTGTCACGCTGTTTGCTTTCTTTTAACAAAGCTAAAACGTCTCGCATCAATTGAGTTTCAAAAATAATGACCCAGTTTTGTTATTTAAGTATAATTTTGCATTGGAAACTGTTTCCCGTCGTCTGTTTCTACGAACGGCAAGAATGGAAATGGATTGAAACCTGAAAAAGTTGGGCCAACTTCAACTTTCGCCGTTTTTACGTCACTGTATCGCTTTGCTTGTAAGAGCGATACTTAAAACTAATATCAGAAAATGAAACAATTAACCCATTAGTCTATGTCAAATTTTGCTTATTCTTGATCTTCCGATGAAGAAAATTAAAACGCAATTTCGGCTTTGGGTGCGGTCAGTTTTCATCTATTTTATTACGGATGTGGCGAGTAAGCCCGGATACAATTCGTGCCAAAAAATACCCTGTCCATTTGCAATTCTTTTTAGCGTCTTTCCGTTGGCGTAATGATGTTGCTGTCGATAGATAATTTGTCCGATAAACTTTCGGGCAATTTGCCCCCCACCGGTAAACATTTTACTCCTTTTCTTAGAAAAGATAAGGATAACGACCATGTGATAACGAGAAATGCAAAAGTAAAGAAAATTCTTTAAACGAATTCGCTTGTGTCATCAACTGAATTTCCCGTGCAAGACGGTTCTTATACTCGTGACCTTACATTCGAAACTATGAAAATGAAACTCTTCTATTTTCGGTTTGCCAAGATCTGAAAATGTGGTTTTGATTATTGATGTTGCAGTTCAATTTCTAAGTCATATAATTGGGTTTAATTTATAACATATTTAGTTCTAATGCACATCAAAAGTATTCCGACTGAATGTTGAGCTCTGGTATGAAATCCTTTGACGGCAAACCTAAAAACGGTCATGAAAACCCAAACCGAATACCCCCAATAATGCCCTTTGTTCTTCATGTTATGTCGTATTTGGTGGTCCACGTCCGTCAGGTCAGAACCCCGATATTGCCGCGACGAAAACTGCCTTTACCAGTTCAAGCTATGGGTTGCTTAAGGTGGTCCGCTCTTAAATTCCTACCGCTGAATTAACCCAAACAAAACTGTCGAAAAGAATTATTTCTGTTGGTTATGTGGCAAAAACGGCCTACGCATGCAAAAACGCGGACAAACAAACATTCTGAGCACTTCGTGCATGGCTAATCACTGTTTTACGCCTTTGTAGAGTGGGAGTCCTGCACAAAAAAACACTGAGTCATATAGGAATCTGCATTTAAGCGTGCAGTTGGTTCGATCTAGATAATTTCGTTGGAAAAAAACCAACAGAAAAGCGCTGCGCCTTCTCTAGGCGCCTTGTTAATGACAGTTACGTTAGATAAGGCGCTCTACGCAAGCGAAAACGAGAACAGAGGGTTTTTTCCCTTTTACTGAAGGTGGTCTGCCAGGGTGGCCTAAACTTTTGGATTCTTGAGATTGTTCCGTTCTCACGGTCACTGGAAGACCAAAGCTATTAAACTGATACGCACATTGTTTCTGTTAGCTATGACGAGGTGGTCTACTTAAGTGAAGATGAGGACAATGATATGAACCTGAAGGAATGATAAGATGGTGTATGTATGCGCCAGTCCAATTAAATCAAACCCCAGTGATGACTGTATTGCTCGTCAATGCTAGTTGTATGCCGTAGAAGATTGTCAACAGATGTCAGTTCAAACCGACGTAAGCAATACGGAAATAGGTTCTCAGTCTTCAGTCTTGAAGATAAGTTTCTTGTCGGTTTATTTTGCTTAATCAGCTATGATCCTTCTTCAAACACATTAGCCAGCAAATGCACCACACGTTTAATCCGACTAACGATATGAAGTCTTCCAACCTCACGCTGGGACCACAGCGAGTTAACAAGCCCACTGATTATTCTTGCTACAGATCAGACCATTAGAGGGTATTTAGTAATAGACTTAAAACCAAAGAGCAACACTTTAATGCTTATTACTACAAACTGTGTGTCTGGTTTTACAAACACAAATCATCCAGAACGTGACCAAATCCTAACTTGCCCTTGGCTAGGAAATTTTAGGGAGCTTTAGCAGCATCGACGGCGACGGCGACGGGAAGAAGAACGTCTAAAAGGCAATAGGTTTAGCAAGCAAAACAACAGTTCTGCCCTTCTTTGCCGTCACTACACGACTTAAAACATAAAGTTCCCTAATGAACAATGAAATGCCCAAACTTCATAAATATCAAAAAGGTTTTCTGGCTAAATTCTTTTTAAAAACACTAGCTTTCGACCGCCTAATCTCAACTTGGTTATTGCTAAAGAAACCTATTGTGACGTAAATCTAAAGGCCAACGAAGACCCTCGTCCTTAAATCCCAACGATCAACTAAATTTTCGGCCATTTAAAATTCCAACCATTTCCCTTTCAGCTAGTAATTTAACTTTGCAAATCTCAGATCTTAGGTGTCACTAAGAATAAAGAAACGTATCGAGGCAACTGCACCCTAAACCACATGGGAAACGGAAAAACGTAAGGAGTCTCTCCCTAAAAACAACATTTAAAGGTATATAAACAGCTAAACCGTAATATTTTTTATAGACTGATTGGACTTTTAACTTCTGATGCTGTTAGTAGGAAGGGAAACCGTAACGAGTGTCTATAATTCTAAAAATACGTTTGCAAAGGTACATGTATAGGAAGTCGGCCAGACTAGACCGATACTTCTGTGGTTATAATGGTCTTGTCCGTGTAGTAATCCTTAGTTCGATTCATTAGATAAATTCGATTAACATTATTTCGGAAGGACTAACCGCAGACCGCAGACTTGACTCGCCATATAACTATTCTAAAAAGTACAAGTCAGTATTATTGATATAATCGATATTCTCATTGCTAATTTGAAAAAAGTAAACAAGGAAATCCGAACATAATTGACAATGACAAATAAGACTGCGAATTTACTACAAACATCCTTTCTTAATTGATACCAAAACATTTTATAGCTGATTACCCAACCATAATGATTTGTAAGTAAAAACTCTGCCACGAGAATTGAAGGAAACTCTTTCATCCTCGTTATGGCTATTCTTGAAAACGCCAAAGTATTCAAACACAATTTGGAGATAATCAGTCTGATATGAGAACATCTCTTTGTTTTCAAAACTTTTTAAACATTGAAGATTTGGTTTGTTTACACATCACACGTTGACGCAAGAGTAAATACAAGCACATGTTTTTCTACTTGAGCCTTATTATCCCAAACAAATATTATTTGTTTAAAACATTCAATTTACACGAACATTGTTCTTAACAAATCTGACGTTAAAACAGTAGATATATCATTGTAACTGCGCAAAACACCACCCTGTCTCACACTTTTAACTTCGTAATCTTCTAATAAGGGTATTCTCTCCTTAAACCCCTATTATCCAGAATTCATTTAGTCGACATTCAGACGGCTTTTAAGCCATGTGACGAACAAACAGGCCGCCAAATTTTGGCGGGAAACCTTTGATCGTTCCGCCGGTGGCGTCAACTCGACGGATGACATAAACATCGGCTGTATTCAGTATTTCGAGCAATATAATAATAAAACAAATAACAAATGACTGAATTCCGAGGTCGATGACAGCAAAGCAACTATAGCAAGATACGACAAAGGATAAAAAGAAACGCAAAACTCGAGTATTTCAGCCACTTCAACGGTTTAACTCTGCTGAAGAGACGTTTCTGGAAAGGTTTTATAGTTTTGGAGGTTGAAAGTCGTAGGTGGATTTTAATGAAGATTAAGAAAAGAGATTCAATTAAAATGGCAATCAGACAATAAACGATAAGGAAAGGTCATTTGGAACGGTTTTCTACGCCAAAACGGCCTTTAACTCTGGCAAACTTCACTCGTCTGGGACGTGATTTAAATAAAACAGATTTTGGGGATTCAATTCTTCTGCATTCTTCCGATAGGTTTAGGATTAAAATAGACTGGGTATTCTGCAAAATTTTGTCTACTTTCACTGCGAAATCCTTTCGGCCTTACGGCCTTACGGCAAGCTTTTACTTCTGGTAGCTCTCTGTTTCATTGTAAAATAAAAAGATTTTAAAACTATCACAGATTTTGCGGGAAAAGATAGGGAAATTAAAGGTTGGGCCGGCACTAGCAGTATCATTTACGTTTTTCACCGGTAAAAGTCCACAATGGGCAAATTCAATTTTCGTCCTTTTACTCCAGGTAGAAATACTCACGAAAACAATGAGTGAAAGTTAGGCGCTTTCTTATAAGTGTTTAACCCTACACCGCAGATTAGAGCTAAGCTACAATAACCTGTTCTTTGCTCAGCCAGAGCTCTGATATACTTCCCAATCTTCTGACTTATAAGTAGGGTTTTGTTTGCGATAGCCTCATTGATCAATTGTTTGTTTCATGCAAGTTCATGGACCAGCTTACACAGATGACAATGAAAAATTAACCCTTTAAAACCCTAAGATCAAAATTTGAATTCCCATTTGTTGCCCCTGGTCATTTCCTACAGAAGTAGTGAAGAGAAATTGATTAAATATCCAACAAAGTCATCTTGTGTGACCATGTCTGTAATTCTCATGACCACTCATGACCACTCTGTTTTACAAAGCATGGGTATCACAAGGAGAAATTTGATGGTGATCACTCTTGGGGCTTAAAGAGTTAAATACAATAATGCACTGTCAGGAATCTTTAATTTGTCAAACCAGAATTACAAATAGAGACTCAAAAAACTAAGAACCACCTTGTACAGCAAAATAAACAGCACCACAGGGAAGTACTGCTTAGTCGCTTTAATTTGAATGGACACACCATAGGATTTCATCCACAAATTCAAAAATTACAGCCACCTTGTGCAGCATAATAAACAGAACAACAGGAAAGTACTGCTAGAACCACCTTGTACAGAAAAGCAAAGAGTACCACAGCCGAATTGAGTTTCGTGTCTGCCACATAGGCCAGATATATAAATAGGAGTTCAAAAGAGCGTGAACGTGACCTCTTGCAAGATGGTGTTAATCAAAGGAATATACTGTAATCCACAATCCGTTGTTATACTACATTTTATTTCCTTTCTTGATATAAATTTAATTAACAGAAATAAGCGTAAAGATTGCCAGAGGGCTAATACTGTTGATAGGGCATACACTGTACTCAGCTCGAACAAAAAGCCTTTGAATTAAAAGACGCCAATATGTCTCGACCATTCGATGCTAGGAAAGCCTAGGAACAAACCCACGTTGAATAGTCGATAAATCAGAAGATAATAGTATAGACTAAAAGATAGTCTATAGTCTAAAATTTAACTTATAAACTGGCTGATATGGATATGAAGGGAATTAGAAGAGTAAATACAATAATTATGAAAAACATCGACTATAACTACTTCGGAATAGGTTTTCAAGACTTAGGTGAGAAAAGTCGTTTTATATTTACCGTTAATCTTGACAGATTGTTTCTGGGATTAACGCCCTGAGTCCCGAGGAACAAGCAGGGAGGGCGGGGGCTGGTGCAAACACCCCACTAAATCCGACAGTTTCCGTAGTCCCGCCCTGCAGTAACCTACAGTCAAACCCCATTAATAAGGACACAGAGGGGGCCATGGAATGTGTCCGTATTAAGCGGGTTGAGTTTAGAGAAAATGTAAAGGAATTCCCCAGGGACAAGGAAAACTGTCTGTGATAACGGGGTGTCCGTGTTAAGCGGGTATCCGTAAAGGAGGGTTTTACTGTACTGCTGTAAGTCGAAATTTTTGAGAGGAAATTAAAGATTTAAAGGATGAAAAAACGTAGGTGGAAAAACATTCAGCTACTGGTTGAAAAAGGGTAGAATTTGATGCGTAAAACGCTAACAAAATACGAACAAATAAACTATTTGAGAGAGCTACTCTGTAACTTCAATTTCGATTGCAGAATCAAAAGCTAGAGTTTCAAAAAATCACCAAAAAACGAAGTCTCAAGCAAAAGCAATTATCATAACAGGTTCCTTTTCGCCTAAACTCTTTGCGCAACAAGTGACGTTGAAACCTGTACAGAACAGTAGCTAGTACACACTAAAATAAATGAACGATAAAGGGGATTAAAAGACAAGGAAGATCTAACGACTAAAGATTGAAGTTTCCACTACAATCATTCATCAAAATCCTTTTTTTTAATAATCAAATAATAAGTAAGTTTCAACATAGGAACTACCAAAGAATTATGAAGTAATAGGGGAATTAACTTAACTTAATGAAAGATTCACGCACAGACTATAACAGTGTAACAAGAAAAGCAAAATAATGCAAAGAACTATGTTTATTTGTATTCTCTTCTTTGCAGAATCAACATCATGTACTCATCAAAGAAGAACATTCAAGGTATGACAAATTGAGATACATGTATGAATCACTGTATGCCATTAACTTAAGCTGCAGTTTGCAAATACAGTAGAACCTCGATACGTTGAACTCGGATACAAATTTCACTGAAATTTACCCTGATAACTCGAATTCTTTGCTAACTTGAACTGTTTTTCGTTTCCCTTTAAAGTTTGAGTTACCGCGGTTCTACTGTACCACCACCACCACCACAGTATAATGCTTAAATTGGTCACCAAAATGGTGCTAATATTGCTAAAAAGAACATCGAAGTACTTGAAGTGTTAGGTACAAAATATTACAGCTTTACCTCGCAAGACTTAGGATTTACCACAGTTGCGAGAAATAAGCCGATAATGCCCAAGACATTCCAGATCTTACTAATACATGTACATTCACAAAAACCAGTTAAAATGGAAAAGACAACAAGTACTAGACAAAAAAAAAATGTATACTGTTCAATGATGCCATAGTTTTCTATACTTATTATTTTTACCCCCTTATGCAAGACTCTCTCATGTTATAAAGAGCTTCATTATTTATTTATGGCATTTTAATTAAGTGCTGGTTTTATAGCCCAGAGACAGCTGCATAAATCATGATGTTAAAGTACAAAACAACTAATGTCTATTTACACTGTAATTCAATGAAAGATGCTAACAAAACAGTTAATTTTGTTTCCATAAAATCTCAATGTTTCCCTAGGTGGAGTTTCATTGTTAGATGTTATGTGACCTCTAAGTAACTGATCATGAAGAGCGTGTGTGCCATTGGGAAAAAAATTTCCAGCAACATACTCGTTATGATATTGTTATCCAATCATATCATATCTCACTTTAGATTTCATATGACTGGCCCTAGGGGGTGCTTTGACTGGCATCAATGTCTAACACAACATTGAAGCTAGTCAAACCACAAATAGCAATCCACCACTTCAAACAAAAAAGACCAGAGTGGTAGCCTAAGCAGTACATTACACAAAACATGCATTGACTCCAAGTAGCTGTTACCTGCTTAAGGTCTGTCGTCCTAGAGGGTTTTCCACCATTTTATCCAGTGACAGCTAATCTTTTCCATGCAGAAATCCTTGAATTGTGACTGCAGGAAACCTCTTTATTACAGACTCTGACTCTCGCTCTGCAAGAAACTAAACTCCATTTTATACCCAACTTTAGAAAGTAAACAAACATAGATGACTTTCCCTCTTTAACCCTTTAAGCACCACGATCAACATACAAATTCTCCAGACTGGCTTCCATACATTTCTTGAAAAATTGGTCAGAGAATTTGTGAAAAGATCAAAGCAAATTTCCATTTATTTATTCTCATAACCTTTCTACTTGATTAATATACCTATAGTGTTTGGAGAAAATTGATGTTGGTCACAGCTCTTGGGACTTAAAGGGTTAAGGGACTATTATTCCTTTGCTCAACAATTTTCATTGGGAGCACAAACCATATTAGTTTTGGTGATTATCAGGTATATTGACACCATTATTATTAATATCATCATCGTCATCATCATCATCATCATTATTACTTCAAATTTCAATCCAAATCCACCCACGCCATCAACACACAACAAAAAAACAGTTTCAATACCTAAATATAGTCTTAAATAACAAAACTGGACAACAATTTTTGGAGTTCAATAGGTAGGGGACTTGTTTTTGCATTTAAAAAGACAGCAAATACCCTAGCGTTACTGTCGCCCCTTTAATGGAAACCTCTGTTTGGCACACAGGTCACTAAAATGAGTTGGTTCCTGTCGTCCTTAATGACTTTTAGCCACCAGAAATAGCCCTTTTTAAGCTTAAGGCTGGTGACAGTACTACAAATCAATTTACTTTTGTAGAATGAAATCCAGGATAATTTTTAACCTTTGGCAATTTCCTCCTTTGATACAGAATAATGAATCATGGTTTGTAGAGGGTTGTCAAATATGCCACTGTCAAAATACCACGGTAAAATGTGAGCCTCAGAAATGTTCTCCAGGATCACTCAAATGTCCAAAGGTAAGAGACTCAGGCACAGATATTTTTAGGCCATTTAATGCAATTTAACTGCATTTAAGTTAATGCGAAGCAGCACTGGTTTGCATCCAGTGGTTAACAGTGAGAGAATGTTTAACTGCACACCACCCCTCACATACATGTACATACACAGCCCAGGGAGGGACGGGAGGGGGGTTATGGGAGGAGTAACTTAGGAAAGTTTGGGTGGGGACGTGCCGCTAGGAGGACCGTGGAACCGTTAGACTATACTAGACTTAGTCCAGAGCTCTGAATTTTGCTACCCTGTACATTCAAAATCTACTTTCCAGAAACTAGTGAGGTGGATGCTTATGTTGCTATCAAACTGAGTTGCGGTTAAATTCAAATTTGCCGATGTCATTTTTTGAGCGTCAATTCCGGCTTTGCTTTAGGCTACTTAAAATCTTCAATCAACATTGATCAGTTTCCAGGAAAATCATACTCTATTCAAGAGCCAAACTAACCCCTTCCCAGACTAAACTGCTTGAAAAACATACCCTTCACAGTGGCATATGCCTATATAGCCCATAATATGGTACTTCCCCAACCCCTGGGCATACATAGCACCCTTTAAATAAAGCAAAGAATGTATCCTATGTAAGTGCTATTAAGCAGGGCAGATTTTCTCTTGAAAAATTAATGTTGGGCTACTCCTCATCACAATCCTGACTCTCACTCCCCTCCGTCACACCCACCTTTCCAGATTCCTTTCCCCAATTCCCACTGATGACACAGTGTGACTGATAGCCAGATTACTTTGTTCTGAGGCTGAGAAATGTGGGGAATTAGCAGCAGCTAAGGGAGTTTTGCAGAAGGCCACATTTCTGCCCAACGCTGCATGACTCAAGCCCCAGTTGTTCAAAAGTTGGATAATCCAATCCACTGGATTTCTGACTGCAATCCATTGGATTTCTTGTGGATAACACAAAATTGGTTTCCTTAATACTTATCCGCTAAATAGTGATTTATCCACTGGATAGCGTTATCCAATGTTTGAGCAATCAGGGCCTGATGTTTAGTGATTGTTACAGGGGCGGATCCAGGATTTTTTTAGGAGGGGGTGCACTCGTCTCTTGTTCTACTTCAACACCAATAAGCCACATAGTTTTTTCTTTTGCAGAATACCATTTGTATTAGAAAACCGCAGGTCATCTCAGGGGGGGCGCCCCCCTGCACCCTCCCCCTAGATCCGCCCCTGTGTTAGGAAACTGAATGAATGAAGTTCCAAATCTGCTTGCCTGTATAATGCCCTAGCTGGAACTTAATTAACTCAGTTTCCTAACCGTAGTCACTTACCTCCATGGGCATAGGTCATTCGGTGACCATTCCCCATTTTGCAAAATACCCCGGTCGGATTATTTGCCGCTATAAGCCCGAAATGAGCTTTTTAGTGAAATTAAACCTAGCCTCTAAACTAAACCATCAACGAAAGGATAAGGTTCTTAGTTTTAATTCATCTTTTCACTTACCTTGACAGCCAAAAGCTAGTTCTTAACCAAATGCATCGAATGAACGGTGACTCAAGATATCATCAAGAATCGATCGAAAAGTGCGCGGTTTTTATTTCCATCACATTTGAACGAGAAATTATCCATCGAAGGTTCATGTTTCCTGTTTTTTTCCCTTTCGATCCTCAAATCTCGTGTGTTCCGTCTTTCGAAGTTTTCAGTTTCGCCTAAAGACGGCCAAAAACTTAAAAAGAACCCAGCAGAAAATGTTGCTTTCAACAAAATTCGGTCCGCCATTTTGATTTCCAACTAACTTGGTAGCCTCTCCTTTTGGATCCCAGGCTTCTTTATGGCGCTCACCGTGTGACACGAACTTTTTGCGGGAACTACAGTAATTGATAATCATTGAGTACTTGCAATGGAAATACATGTTTTAAACAATACCTGTTTTTGAATGAAAGAGACCAGAAGCCGGATTAGAGACAAGTTGTAATTGAACAGGCACAAATTCTTGGTACTGTATTTTTGTGCAGCGAATTTAAGTTACAGAATATTTACTATAGAGTAAATTTTTGGGAGAAAAATGTTTTGGAAAATTTCCTTTTAAGATAACTTCTTTTTTGCGGATCGCTGAAAAAATCGCAAAACTCGCAGAAATTGGAACCCGACAAATTTTTTAATTTTTAATTAGCCCCCTTGTTACAAGCTTTAATCATTCTACAGAAGATAAGGGAAGAACAATTTTAAGAGTAGCTCTTCATAATATCTCATAAACAGAGTAGAAAACAGGGGAAAAGTATCAACATTATCTTATCAAGGAAATTGTTTGTTTTCGTTTTTGAAGGGCAAGAAACCAGGACAAGTTCCCGGCGCGTGCTGCCCACAATGCATCGAGGGTAAGTAGCGTTCAAAGCAGAATGAGGTCATGCGGGGACGAATCCAGACATTTTAGAAACCGCATATATTATCTGGATTCATGTGGAGGGCCCTGGAAAGCAGTTTCGAGGCAATGCGGTTTCGCTGACCGGATTCGCTGGTTTAGTGTGGACGGAGAACCGACTGGTGCAAAAAACTATGCACTTTCAAAAGTATCTGGATTCATGTACTGTAGACGTTTAGCCTAAGTTTCCTAATTCTGGTGGATCCCTGAGGATGTTATGTAAACAGGGTTATTACCTACTCTACTGCCGTGTTGTCATACAATACAATACAATACAATAACTTTATTACCTCTCCCGAATGGGCAATTCTTAGATAATTTACAAAGAGTAATTACCTTAAGTTACAAGCATCAATAAACACTAAGCTAAAATCATTCGTTACAATTTATATGCTAAATAGTTTACGCATTACACTGTTTTTTAAATTACTGATCTAAGATTAAAGAATGTCATCTTTTTCGTAGATTCCAGTGTATTGCAACGCCGAGCTTGTGAAATTTCGGCTAATGTTTTTGTATCACGTGCGTTTTTAGTCAGTTCAATTTCTTTGATGGATCTCTGCCAGAAACAGATCAGCAGGAAATACACACCAAACCATCACTGTTGATATTTTTGAGGAAATAATTTTCATGTTCCCGATGCGCACTCATGCGCGCGGAAAAATTGCGACTGCAAATGTCTTCAACTTGTCTTGGAGTGAGCCGGGCTGTGAAAACATGGTACTTACACGTTTTGGGGGTATCTGGCTCATTCGCCCCAGGGCAGTTCGCGCAGGCTCACTGATTCGAGCGATCGCTTTCTTAGGGCGCTTACATGCCTGTGGTCCCTGTTCTTGGTCAATTCATTTTGGTGACTACTTAAGACGAACGGCCGGAAGAAAACTCGCTAGGACCACGTGACCCGGAACTCATAGACCGCGAGGAATAATGAGACCTAAGGACTAGACAAGGCCCTTGCAAGAAATGGCTGACCAGACCAGTCCACTCGTTAGAAGAATCAACTATTAACAAGGACTATCCAGCCAGATCACTTTATTCTTAAATAGTGTGCACGCCAGTGATGGATTTAGTTAATGTTTCGAGAAAATAGTAATATTTCATTATCAAAATTATCGGTAAAAACGGCCATTTCTGACTTTGGGAAAACGCCCAATTTAGGATTGCCGATAATCAAGCAGGTGCATCACACGGAAATCGAACGAAATCAAATTCTTACGTCGGGTAAGGCTAGAAAGAAACAGAACTCAGATAACAAAAAGAAAAAAATACTCAGTTTTACCCATTCTTTTTTTCTCATTTTTTTTTCAGAAAGTGGTGTTTGTACTTCATACGGAGACCCACACTACCAAACATTTGACAGACAAATGTTCAACTTTCACGGTACCTGCCGCTACCAGCTGACGTCAGACTGTGTCAGCGATCAATTTACCATACGCATGCGCAATGAAAGACGATACTCTAACGTATACGCTTGGTCCAAGGCCCTCACGATCCATATGGGAGATTCAGTAATTGTGTTGCACAAGGACTTGCAAGTGAAAGTTAACAAGACAACAGTAGATCTTCCCTACTATCATCTGCCATATTTTCAGATAATCAAGGGGAGTTTCACGATAACGCTGGTCTCGCAGATTGGTTTACAGGTCAGTGCATGCCATTTTTTTCCAAAACCACAACTATGATTTGCTTGCACCTTCAGGCTCTGTGCTGGATAAATTCGAGTTGGGTTTGAGAATTAATTCAGGGGCGCAGCTTGACTATTTTTTGGAGGGTAAACAAAGAGGATATATTCTTCCTCGAGGGTCGGTTGGGTCGGTGGACCATAAGTTGTGAACATGGTTGCACGAAGATTTTGTACAGACAAACATGCTTGTCCTAAGAATTTGCCCAGACAGTTGTGACATTATTGATCTCAATCTCCTTTGCGAATATGAAAAACTGGGAGTGAGGATAACTTCTATCTTGTTGTTTTTATCTGTAATCTTCGACGATCCTAGGCACTCACGTGCGTAACCGCGTACCGTTTGCTATTTACGTGGTATTCCAAAACCCTTACCCTATTTGAAATCGAATGCATGTACATTTGAATTTACCTGCCCTAACCTAATTCAGACGTCCCTGAACTTCTGTTTTCAAGCAGCGAAGAACATGGAGTCCTCCTAGGGTTCACATTCTTTTCCTGCCATTGGCTCCCGCTTCAATAAAGCTTCGGACGGCTTGTGGTTCATTTTAATGCGAACTCAATAATGCGTTTATTTGGCTGGTAGCCAGGCAACGAATAGGTTCATGGCCAAGGTGTTGACCAGGGTAACTACTTTGACCAATGCAATGACTGATTTTGAATATGGTTTTACGATACTGACCCTTTCTTGCGTACAGGTGCAGTGGGATGGCAATGGTTTTATCGAGATCCATGTACCAAAGAGCTTCATGGGCAAGGTCTGCGGTCTTTGCGGCAATTTTAACGGGGATTCTAAAGATGACTTTATGTTGAAGAATGGCAGGCGCGCCATCTCTGCTCAGGAATTTGGCGAAGGCTGGTCTTTAGGAAGACGAAATCCCGGCTGTGAGAAGCTACCATCAGAACCGAGGGATTCCATCATGTCGAAGTGTTTCAACCGTCTAAGAGTTTACTGGCGAGCACATAAACGCTGCTGGCCGATCAAAAAACAGTTCGCAAACTGCCACAAGAAGGTGAAGCCACACGGTTATTATGGGTCCTGCATCTCGGACGTTTGCCAATGTTCAGGGAGAAGATGTGAATGTGAAGTGCTGATGGCTTACGCTCGCGCATGCAGGCGCGAAGGAGTGACGATCAACTGGGGACGAAGAAATACTTGTGGTAAGCTATCGAAATTAACTTTACTCACAAAGTCAATTTGTAACCTTCTCTCTTCTCCATTAGCCTTTTCTAGTCTTATTTTGGTCAAGGGTAAGATGTAAGACTCTGACGACTGTCGCACTAACGCAAATAAGCTGCAGTTTCAAACAACGACGGCCAGATTGACTCTAATACTTAATAAAGGTCGGGGCGTTTAATTAAAAAAAATACGGTATATACCAAACCAGTGAATATCTAAAAGTTGGAAAAATTGCCGACAGCAATTGACTTACTGTACCAAATCAGAACGTATTATCCCCTTCGTGTTAGTCAAGGCTACTGCATTTGAACTAAATAATACCAGAGAAAAATTTCATCAAGCTCACACTTTGACATTACATACATCGGGTATTTTGTGCTCACGGTGTCTATGTCGAAGAAAATTAAAGACATCAGGAAGTACTATCCTAGTGTGTACGTTGACCATTAATTTCAGGCAAAATCTATTAATCTAAGCATTTCTTGGAGTGCTGTTTTATCTGTTCAATGATGAGCAAAATAATTCTCCATTTTACATCTGCGTACGAGACCCTGAAGTGTGACCATTCAAATGAAAGCTACTGAGCAATACTTTCCTTTGGTGCTGTTTATTATGCTGCACAAGGTGGTTCTAACTTTTGACTATGTGGATGAAATCCTATGGTGTGACCGTTCAAATGAAAGCTGCTGAGCATTACTTCCCTGTGGTACTGTTTATTATGCTGAAAAAGGGGGCTCCCGGGTTTAGTTTGTAGATGGAATCTTGAGCTGTAAACATGCAAGTGCAGAAAACTACAGGATCATTTCTTGATTCCTTTTTTTTTAAATGAAATTCTAAGCTCAAAACTGATATAAGCTCGAGTAGTACCCACTCCCTCCCCCTTTGGACGAACAGTCTCTATAATACGAACACCTTATACTAAAATAGTCACCTGGAGCTGGTCTCTCCTTTTTTACTTCATTCCTCTTCTTTGACCCTCATAAAAGGCAGCGTTTAATTTCATGCATATGTGCATCTGGTCAGCAGTCAACAGTCATTAAGTGTCTATTTTCCCGGTTGTAAGGAGTTTCCTGCAAAGGAGGATCTGTGTTTGACGACTGCGTTCCTTCGTGTCAGCGGACGTGCGACAACAGATTTGATATAAGCGTCCCGTGTCCCAGCAGTTCTTGCGTGCCCGGATGTCGATGCCCCGCGGGCACTGTTTGGAACAGCCAACGGACAAAGTGCGTTCAGCTGTGGGATTGTCCTCCACAGGTAAGAGAATTGAACACAATAATTTAACTCTATTGATGCAATAATCGTGATTTTAACCAATCACCGTGCACTATTAACATTATTCACTGGTTTGGTATAATTTTAATCATAATTCAGTTTTAAATTCCTTTACTTGACTAACAGAATAATACCTTTAATATTCGCTCTAATTTTCATTCTATAATTCAAACGTTAAGTAACCTCGAAGTAATTTATCCACAAAGCAATAACGCAAGTTGTAACCACTAACAAATATACTTCTGCGTCTTAAATAACAACAGCGCGTTGAAAAGCTTATTTTTCGGATATAAATATGTAAAGAAATTGGAGGTAGCTGTAAATTAAACCTGTGGGGTCTGTGTAAATTACTAATATTATCAAAACATGTCAAATATCATTCTCATTCTTGGTAATCTAGCTCAACTAACATAGACGTTCTTGATCTTTAAATTCTTGAAGAGCTAATGAGATTGAGGTACCGTTGACCAGTTACTAAGCATTCATCACTACGCATGTCACATACGGACCTTCTAACGTCTTAATTTAGCAGTTAAACAAAGATACATCACCTCCAAACAAAACAGTTGCTGGCCTTTAAACGCATAACGCTAGCTCTCACAATCCCAAACAGACGTGAAACTTTGATATTTAAACAGAGATAACATTTTTAAAACCGTGCTTAACGCTTGAATTCCATACAGGGGCCAAGCAAGCGTCCTATTGTGAACACTCTGGCATATTCAAAGCGAATAAAATTCAGTAAGCTACCTTCCTATTTGACATTTTAAACTTAATATACCTTTAACCCACTACCCTTCTCCACCGCTTTTGGGAAAGTCTTAAGAAGACGAAGTTTTATGCTTTCTAAAAGCACTTTAACCGCTAACTGTCAGAAAATGGGTTCGCGTTCGATTCCCGAATTTAATGCATATTTAGAATTTACTCTGCAAAGACATTAGTGCAAAACATTGCTACCGACGGCCGACAGTTGCGCTGCAGCCTCTATTCAGTAATTTGGTTTGTTTGTTTGTTTGCATTTATTGGATTTAAATGCCCTTATCATACAGGGGTCAGTTGTTTGAAAGTTATAGATATCCACGCACTGGATAAATTTCCATCCAGTGAATAACGCAATATTGGTTTCCCTAAGTATAGCCGGCATAACAGGTGCTTTGTGAGCCAAGCGAGGCGAACGCCGCATTTATTTTTCCACTCTCCTCGTCTCGCGCTTCGCGCAAAAAGCCGCGTTCGCGTCGCTTGGCCCATAAAGTGCCTGTTATGCAGGCTACCCTAAGTACTTATCCACCGGATAGTAATTTATCTGTTGGACAGCGCTATTCAATGTTTCAACAACCAGGACCGGGTACATTAGTCTCTAAGTTATTTTAATTTATTTTTTTATTTTCATATCACCCGATTGACCGTCTATAAAATATTAAAAGATGATAACTAACCTTTAACCCTATTTGAAGTTTCCCTCTCAAACTGTGGGTTGTGCTGTTCTGACCCTTCAGTAATCTATAAAGTCCTTTATTCCCATTTCGGTTCGTCTCAGCCACGTACTCTAGCATATCATTAGAAATAAATCTTCAGCAGCAACTCTCGTTTAGTTTGTCTTTCCTGTTTGGTTGTCTCCGCAGCTGGGTCCAATCCAGGGTAAACTACGCCTTGCCGCTGTGTCCAAACGAAGTCGCTTCTTAATAAGAAAGCTAAACAGGGACAAGGAAAGATAGAGCTAGCCTGAAAGTACAAGAAGTATTGGTTAGGAGTAGACCCAGTCACATAGAATTTACCCTGCTCATGTAGAACTCAAGAGGCCTATTTAATTGATACAAGACAAGCTCGACGACAGGAAATGAACGGATTTTAGAAAAGTAGACTTTCAACTGAACGACGTCCCTACAACCCGCCAAGAATCAAAATGGCAGCAGTACCCCGAGAGATGGAATTTAGTACTGCAAGAAAACACTCGTTAGAAAAGAACTGAAAAAAATTCTTAAATTGTATATATAAATATAGTCCCGAATTTTAAAGCTACCATGTACAGAACAACTCTTGTTGCAACGTCCTCCTAAACAACCGTCTGCGTGACAGGCAGATAAGACAGTTAGGGACTCAAGATTAGCCATACGATGCACGTGGGAGAGGAGAACACGCGCGCTTTTTCTTACCTCACGGGCACTGCTCCTTAGGTTTTTGTCAGTGTTCCATATTTGTCATGCGCGTGCTACGCAAGCTAATAAATAAACGAACACATGTAAGAACATCATAAAGTTATGTTCAGTCACCTTTATTTGAGTGGTTCCTTGGGAGTTAAACAATCACGACAGTGACGGCAACGAAAACGCCACTTAAAAAGAGTATTTTTCATCGCTGGTTACTACTCCATCTCGTTCAATTTGTGATATGTCGACCAATTTTTCTGGAGTAAAATTCTAATGGTCTGCTTCTGAGTTAAGAAAAAGACAAAAAGAAAACAGTTGTCTTTGAGTTCACGTTCTACATAAAACGTGACGTAAGGAAGTTCCACGTCGTAGTCGTGCTACGACGGCCGAGAAATATACAAAACAGCGTCATGCACGTGCAAAGCTGTTTAACCTATTGCTTTTTTGCCGTTCTCGATACCGTCGTCGTTCCTTAAGCTGCTGTATGCAACAACGACCGAGACGACTGCTTCAAACTTTTTCGCGGTTATTCCATTTCGTTCAATACGTCAAATGTTAGAAAACTTTTCTGGAGTTGAATTTTCAAGACTGTATCGAAATTCAGGAAAAGAAAAAGGAAGTCGTTGTCTTTGTGTTCACGTCCTCCAAAAAACGTGAAATTAAGCAGTTTTACGCCTATTCGCAGTGGCAGACCTTCAGTTAGGGGGGTGGGGGGTCTCAAAAAACATTTTTTCGGCCCCTTAGGCCTCATTTTGGTCTAAAATTAAGGGGGGGCCTCCCCTGGATGCGCTACTGATTCGTTCCGTCACTGACGGCAAAGAAATGTACAAAAGAGCGTGATACATGTGCAAAGTTGTTGTTTCACTAATCCAAACGTATTGGTTTTTTTCCCTCGCCGTAGTTGTTGTTTAAGTTCCCAAATCCCCTGATTCGTTCCGTCATTGACGGCAAAGAAATGTACAAAAAAGCGTGATACATGTGCAAAGTTGTTGTTTCACTTTCTTTACTGGTTTTTTTTGCCTCGCCGTGTTGTTGTTTAGTTAAACGCCTCAGGATTGCCCTTTCTTTACTCCTGTCACACGCTCACCAAAATCTTATTACAAGATTTTGAAAAACGATTAGTGCCATACATCAGCTATGTTGAAGATGTTTCATTTGAATGGACACATTGTAATACTTCGTCCACAGACTCAAAAGTTAGAAATTTAATTGCGTCCGAAATATTGGAATTGAAGAGAAAAAGTTGGGTTGCGGTATTTTTACACGATTTCAGTTTGCCTATTTTCGTGGATCACGAGCTTTATTAAAGGAGTTGTAATCATGGTCGATTATAAGAACAAGGCTCACGATCTAGTAAAAATGAAATGAATGGGCGCTTTCCATTCAGCCCAAAATTCCGAAAATTTCAGTTGGAACAGGGCATTTTGGTTCTATGCGACCGGAATATTTGAGACCACGGTCTTGGTCAACTTTGAGCTGTCCGGGACCGACCGAAATGTCCCTCTCCATTTGACAACACTGCTGTCCCCAGTACCCGTTTTCTCTTTCCTGCACACAAATTAAAACGCACGGTGGCTTCGGTCGATCGAGTCTGTGTGCAACTTGGAATGTACCGTTCCACTGGGCACGTGGAATTTCCGAAATTTCTAACCGGACTTTTTGTTGATTAGAAAGCGCCCAATGATTCCGTCACAAAGAATCTAGTAAAAACCAGATTACCGGGGTCAAGAGAAGCAAAAAAAATTAAACAGCAAGACAAACAAGCATTTCGTATTGAAGGAAACTACTGGAAAGTAATATTTTACAAAGCGTAATGCATACCGAACATGATTTCCACATCTATATTAGTAATGTCACTGTACATTAAATAATTTTTTAAAGTACTAATATACATTTAACCAACAGCTCTACCTTTAAAATTTTTACAGAAACTTCTTGCTTAAGACAGCACGCCTAATGCAGCACTCGTTTGCAACAAGTTGGCAGTTTTTGTTGTGTTTCTCAAAGCAAGAGTTACAGCCGCGCGAAAGCTGAACTGAGAACGACAAAGAAAACGATGGGGGAGGGGGCGACGGGAGGAGGCAGTCACCTTGACTTAAGCACAGCAACCGGGATCTTGGTAGCCGGGCTGGGAATTTTTCTATATTAAAAGTGTGGCTCAGTTTTCCTATGGAAGAGTGTGAATTCAGCATAATTGTTACCTTTTTAACTTAACAATGAAAAATGATTTCTGGATATCGAATAAGAAACGATGAAAAACGTTCATAACTACGACAAAGAAAATTTCAGGCTAATACTTTGTACATATTATACATAATTTATCCTGGAATCGACCTGAAGAGGTCCTAGGCCTCCACTGGTCCATGACATGTGGGTAGATGTCATTCTAAAACACTTCAGTACGGTTAAAAACCGTATTGAGCATGCTAAAAGATTGAATCTGTAGTAAACCGTTGAATCGTGTGACGATCATCTTCTGATTGCGTTACGTTCGGTGATAATCCACAGTAATTTCGTTACCTTTTAAGGTAAAAAAGGAACAGTGACGTACGAGGTCGGATTATTGATGGATTACGTGACAATTTGCGTGATGCATTTCGTTACAATGCTCTTTCGTGATCTTCGGGCAGCCCGTTTGTTATTGAAGCCGCCGCTCCCACTCCCTTAAGAACCATGCTTTCCTCTTCAGAACCGGGCGTCACTAAGAGTCTCTTGTTCAAGTCTGGGAGAGGTTTCTTTGAGTGATTGAGCTGTGGTAAGCGAGAAGGAGGTTTCCCGCCGCTACTTGACAAAGATTCCGTGTCGGACAGTTCTGATAAGCGGTTCTCTTCTGTAGTGGAGGACGAGCCATCTGGAAATTACCGAAACACATCACAAACTTCAGTAATAGACCTCATTCACGATACCCACCATCTTTGCACGCGCTTTAGGATTGATCGGATAAAAGCAATGTCACGTGGTATTTTCACCCCATGGGACCCCATAACCCGGAGCGAGCAATTCCCATGGGCTCGTGTCATGGCGTTTTCACTAACCAGTTTATTTTTAGAACGATTTTGGGGCGAATAAAGAATATTTTTCAGGTCTCACAAACCAGTCATCAAAACTAAAACCCCTAAGAATGGCATTTTTGACTTTTTTAATGAAGTTTCGTTTTCCTTTGTCACTTCTTATATTTATAATGCGCTCATGAACGGTGCGGAGCTTCCATTTTCGCGGTAAAACGTGCTATTAGATGCATCAAAATGCATCAAACCAGTCCAAGAAAACGCCGCGACATAGTAAGAAATTTGCACGCTCCGGGTTATGGGCTCCTGATCCCACCAGTCCCTGAGCAAGAGCAAAGATGGCGCGTAACGTGAACAAGCTCTATTCGTTAAAATAATTGTAATGATGGCTGGGATATTCTAGAAGTGTACCTTCCCCTACTCCGACAGGAGGCAAGAAAGAAGCACCCATACGAATCCGCAGCCTCGTTTTCACCTTGGTCCCATTTCCCTACGTCCGGGTCACTTTGCACTTTGTCTTCTCAGCCCGAAGCCCAGAGGCCAAGGTGAACAGGACAGACTGATGTTCCCTCGCTGTTGCTGAAGAGATTCAGTTTAGCAAATCTTCAAAAACGAAGCTGGCTACAACAAAATTGTATCCCAATTGAAAGGAAACCGATCGTGACTTCTTTATGAAGTACTCCGGGTTTTGATCCCGAATGTAAACGCCATCTGTCATTACGACTTTTCATTCCTGCTCAGACGATGTGTTTTTCTGCTGGTTTTCCCCTCTCTCCTCCGAAGAAGCCTCTTTGTGTCGAAGAGGAGAGGCTGGGGGGAAAGAAAAAGAAGGAGCCCGCGAGGCACGATGGGAAGGGGAAACAGAGAAGGGAGGCCTTTTCCCACCTTTTCCCTCTTCCCATAGTCCCCTGGGCGCTTTCTGTTTTTCCATTATTGCTAATGCTTATTGGGATACCCATCGGGAATCTCAGCGGAGGATAGAGGATTTTCCCCTCTTCCCAAAAACTGACACTTCCAAATTCCAATTCCATTTCTGGTTCTTGACATTGGACGTAATTGCTGATGTCTGACGTTAGATTTTATGTAACTGGTCCCTTGAACGAACGAGCACTTAGTAAACTAGATCGTAAGAGCTCGCAGTTGTTTTGTGGAAAGACAAATTACAGTCCCCCTGTACTAACCTGTCTCATCTTCTTCCTCCTGCATCTCACTGAGAGGTTCCAGGGGGGCGACTGCCTTTTGTTGCTGTTGTTGTACAGGGGGTTCACCAGTGTGTGATGACAGATCCAGCTTTCCTCCCTTGTTGAGTCTATCGCACATCAGTGCTATGTGTTTCTTTAGTTTGCTTGTGTCTTTTGGGATCTTCATGGCTGACACGCCCACTGTGCACAAAGAAATAAAACCAACCTTCGGTGAGGCTTTAGCTAGTTTTCCCCGTAATAACTTGCACCACCAGCCCTCATCCACAATAACTATCCCCCTCAAATACTTTTTCACCAGAATTTCGACTACATGTTTTGCATTACGTTCTAACAGACCCACTTGCATATAATGTCAACTCCCTCTAAGACAGACACCGTTGGGACCGGCAATATGTGTCCGTCTTATTGAGAGTCAAATGAAGGGAGTAAACAAAGGCAGGGACCAACTTTAGGTGTCCATTTCAGCGAGGTGTCCATCTTATAGAGGTGTCCGTAAAGAGAGAGTTGACTGTACAGTCAACTCTCTCTTAACAGACACCTCCATAAGACGGGACTGGCACTAAGTTTCCGTCTTAGAGAGATGTCTGTCTTATTGATAGTCGACTAAAAGGAGTAAAGAAAGGCAGGGACCAACTCTAGGTGTACGTTTTAGCGGTGTGTCAGTTAAGAGAGAATTGACTAAAGGAAGGCAGGGACCAACTGTAGGTTTCCACTTCAGCGAGGTCTCCGTTAAGAGAGAGTTGACTGTATTCGGTCAACTTTTAACAAATCCCATCGAGTTATTTTCATTGTCTTCATCTCTGTTAAACGTTTGCCTTTGCCTTTGGGCAGTTATTTCATTTGTTGTAAGTCAATCAATTAATCAATCAATAAATTAATCAACACATAAAAGAAACAACACTAATAAAGTTGTCCCCCCCCCGCCCCCTCAACCAATACAATGAAAAACAGAGAACCCTGTTAAGTTAATAGTTGCCTTGCAATGGACACAACCTAAATGAACTGAGGCAAAAAAAAAGAGTATACACAAACCGGCCTGGTCCTTTGCACTTTTGGCTAAACAAGTCCGCAGTAGGTGCGTAATGGCCGCATCTGTGATCTCTTCCCAGCCCTACAACAAAAACAACAACAACAACAACACAAGAAAGTCATTCATTACCCCAAACTAGAAAATGCACATTATTTTGCACTGCTGCAAAGTTTAACTATAAACGAATGACTATCAACAAAACAAAAAATAGAAAAAAATCGTTTTCTCGGTGATTACTTTGGATATAGATAGCAAAGAGTTTATTGGCCCGAAGGAAGCGAAAAGGGAAAGAACTCTGAATTAAAAATTTGCTTCATTTGATTGATTTTCTTAAAGCTGAACTCGTAGAAACGGTTCAAGTTTATCAAGAAAAAAGAAATATTAACAGCAGAGCATTCTCAAGCTAACCTTTTGTTCGATCACTCGGAGTTTTTTTATAGGGCAACGGCATAAATCAGCCGCCCTTTTCCCTCCCCAGTCCATCGCTTCATTTTTTTTTTCGCTGTTTCAACCCATTTTTTGCCTTTTCCCCCACTACGGATCCTGGTCCGACTAGTCTCATCGAGGCTTTAAAGAACGAGATATATCGCACATTTATCGCGCTTGTTACGTCTCATCATCTTAGCTTCATTTCGTTGACTGTTTACACCTAACAAAATTACGGGCGACAAAACTTTGGACGAGACGACTTTCAGGCGTTTTGACAAGTTACCCCTGCCATACAGCAATATCAATAAACTTGAAAACTTATAAATTATGTATGCAGTAATAATAAGGACATACCTGTTCCTCTGATTCCGACACCTCCGGTGAGAGGGCGGTCTGGAGAACCTCGAAGTCTTTATCTGACATGTTGGTCCATAATCTGCAAAATATGAATGTAACGCGTGAATTTGACTTCATTACGCTTAGCCTACGTCGCAGGGGTAATCCAGCCCCTGTTAGTAACGTCTGGGAAGCAGCGCCGATAACCTTGTTGTGGGCCACCGACGCACTCAACGAATGACCGGAAGTGCGTTTCGAATATCTCTTCAATCTGATTGGCAAATCGACAATGGGATTTTTAACACGCCATTCATGGCGCGTACTCAAATCATGATACACAGGTGGGTACCCAAAACAAGGATTTCGGCGCCGTTTTACAGACGAACTCAACCAGGCCCCAGTTGTTCAAACGTTGGATAGCACTATCCAACGGATAAGTATTAGGGTAACCAATTGCGCTATTCACCGGATAGAGATTTCTCCAGTGGATAGTGTTATATACCTTTTGAACAACTAAACCAGAAGTTTAGTTCCGTTGGTGGCGCAAGCTATATTACCCTTACTGTTTTGCGAAGCTCAGATTTTGATTTTCCTCATCAAAAATCTGATTTCCCAACAGAAATACTCTTAAGAGGCCCCAACTCAATCTTACGTGCTCCGATAATTACTTCTTTTAACTACTAAAACTCGCTTCATAATGAAGTTCAAAGAAAAAAATACAATATAAAATATAATATAAGCGTTTCGAAGATATGTGATGCTAGTTGTTATAAGTAAAAGTTCAGCTGTGAATATGTCAACGACTTTTAAATCTTTAAAACTGTAAATCTTAGAATACTGTAGTAACAATTAGCCTGTTCACAGACCCTCTATTTTCTCTTTAGAGATCTTCGAGAGCACGTATGAAAATATGAACCGGGGGGATTTATTGACCGCAAGCCTTTGGGAGTGGGGATAAGGAAGGAAGTCGTTCTCGAGAGCTCGCTTTGCTAGTGCGCGCACCGAACAGAAACAGTAGACGAATTGAAGCCCAGGCGCAGAATGAACAAAACGCGCAATCTGATTTTGGATTTCGTAGTTTTAGGGTAGGTTCCATAAAATCTGGATTAGGACATGCAGTTAGCCCCAGATGTCGAAAACTACTGACAAAATAGAACTTACTTGATCAGAAAATTTATAAGTCGTGTCCCACAAGATAAATTAGCAGCTGCCGCCTCAATAGCTCGTTCACAGTCCTCCTCAGCCTCTCCTAACGCTAAAAGCTGGGGAGGGAATTAAGTACAGGCACTTTATACTCAGTCTCCTGGCAAATAACGCTCTAAGTTAAACGCAGTATGTCCACGAGGATATTGCTGTTTTAGGTCAATTCCGTGCTGAGGTTATTACCAAGTCCCTTTACCCATACACAAAATGCTATTGTAGAGTTATGAAAAAGGTATCAAAGAAAGTTGGCAATTTCTGCAGGCATAGCATTTAAGCCAAATTTTTCAAATTTCAATCCATGTCCTAGGCTTGATTACCAGCCGCCGTAATCGGCTCCTGCCTGCACTCATCCCTCCGAAAGAGAGAGAGAGAGTCTCTCTTCAGAGAGAATCAAAAACCGGACCTGGGAGACGGCGGAAATCGAGCCTATCAATGTCCATCCCTGCCAAAATGTTGGCTTAGTGGAGGGGTAGGTGGGCAGTTTCCCAGAAACGTATAATGATCCCTGTTGGTTTAGGGGAGGGGTAGGTTTCGGGGAAACTGCCCACCTCCTCCCCTAAGCCAACATTTTGCCCTAAGTGAGACGTGAGTGTTAATGTTGGTTTGGGGAAGGGGTAGGTGGGCAGTTTCCCAGAAACCTACCCCTCCCCTAAGACGTGAGTGTTAATGTTGGTTTGGGGAAGGGGTAGGTGGGCAGTTTCCCAGAAACGTATAATGATCCATGTTGGCTTAGTGGAGGGGTAGGTTTCTGGGAAACTGCCCACCTCCTCCCCTAAGCCAACATTTTGCCCTAAGTGAGACGTGAGTGTTAATGTTGGTTTAGGGGAGGGGTACGTAGGCAGTTTCCCAGAAACGTATACTTGGACCATTAGCTTTTGAATGTATTTGATGTCAATACAAGTTTTAGCTTTTTGAAAAGATAACAAATAGCGTGGCAAAGGCCCTTTAACTTAGCTTATTTTGACAAACACGCGCAATAGCTGAACAGCTCTAAAACAAAGGTGTTACCAGGCCTCACTTGTTAAAAGGGTGGACAACGCTTTTCACAGGATAAATTTAATTGTCATCCCTTCAAAATATTTCGCCGACGAAGTAAGTATTTTTTGTATTTACTTCAGTGGACTAAGCTCAAACGAGTCTTCTGTGGTAAAACATCTGGATTATATTAGTACCCAGAAGGCCACAGATTCGAATCATACAAGGAGTAATCGTACTTTTTCTTCCGAGCCGCCTGTGTCACTGAAGGACAAAACATCTTTCTCCAGTATTTTTTTTTTCAATTTGGTTACCTGTCTGTAAGTCCCATCCAACAGAGTATCGAGGTTTGCAAGGGGTGCCGGAGTCTTGTCTTTGAACCGCGTTAATAGCCTTCTTTGAATAGTTCGGAACTGTTGAGCCCGCTGTGCTAACAGCTCGCGGTATTTTGTCTGATTACGACGTTGCTGCAAATAAAGTACTGTACAAAATCAATATAACCTCTCCTTAAATCTCCTCGTGCCTTCGCAAAGGAGCCCTTTAAGGAAAGTCAAAGGATTGCACGTGAAGTTTCCAAAAATACGAATATGGCCTTTTACAAAATAAGCTCAAGTCATCTTATACAAAGAAAGTTACAGGGGCCAGAACAATGACAACCTTCACTCGAAAAAAACAAGAAGATGAAGTCGTACCTCGAAGTGTGCATCTATAAGTTCGTAATACTCCTGAAGAGGTAAAGGTCCCATGAACGACGCTCGGAACTGTACGGAGTCCTGCAAAGGGTCACGTGATAGATTAGACAGGAGACACTGTGTTTCGTCCGATGTCGGAACATCGACTGGTAATATATCAACGCGAGAGGGAGCATTTCATCTGATGTCCAAACATCGAGAAGTAGCATGCCAAACACGAGATACAGTGCTTCATTCGATGTTTAAAAACACCGAGATGTAATATTATATCAAACACGAGACGCACTGCTTCATCTGATACCTAAACACCGATAAGTATTATATATCAAACACGAAAAAGGAGCATGTCATCTGATATCCAAACACCGATAACAAATATATCAAACACAAGGAGGAGTGTTTCATCTGGTGTCCAAACACCGATAACTAATATATCAAACACGAGAAGGAGTGTTTCATCTGATATCCAAACACCGAGAATTATCAAACACGAGACGGAGTGTTTCATCTGATCTCCAAACACTGAGAACTAATAAATCAAACAGGACGAATGTTTTATCTGATAATCAGAACCCCAGAAGTGGTATATATGTCAGCCAACACTGAGATGTAACATATCAAACACCTAACGCAGTGCTTCAACTGGTATCCAAACAACTAGACCTAATATAATTATTAAAGAGGAGGTAATGTTTCGTCCGATATCCAAATATCGAGCAGTGAAATATCGAACGCGAGAAGGACTTAAACTTGTGCTTCGATTGTGTATGTACAAAGACTAGCCCTAAAAACCACTCGCTTTACCTTGCTCTTCTTGTAAAATGCTTCTAACCGCTTGCACAACTCGCACAGAATAAGCCACATTCCTTGAAACACATCACACTGAATTCTGTATCTCTCTATGGGGATAAGTCAACGCAATTTACCTTAAGACCTAAACACTTGTGATGCTAACAGTTTACTCAGAGTGTCACAGTACTAAGATCTACTACGTATATCTTGCAATGCTGTAAATCAAAATCGACGTTTACCAGTAAAATTAAAATTTACTACATACAAACATTTCTTCCAAGCTCCCTTTTCTGCTATACGATCATCAGCCAATCTATTTACACCGCCTCCGAGTAATCAAAAATATGGCAAAAGTGTGCGTCGTAAAACCAATATCACTACACCCAGGGACATAACAAACGGCGGGAACTGGAAGCCAATTCACGCAACTGGCGCCAACCACGAGAAACAGCGGGAGCTTATAGTGCGGGAGGACAATCGCTGTTTTACTTCTGATTGGTTGAGAAAAAGGAGCAGAAATTTTTTAGCCAATCGCGAGGCATAACATTGTAAAACGAAACCATTCGCGATCGCGTCCATCGCAAAACCGCTCTATAACAAAAGAATTTGGTTTTATATTCCACTGACGAAGCTACCACAAACGTAATGCATGAGGAGAAGGAGGGGGAGGGGAGGGGAGGGGGGGCAAGACATTTGTTTGACCAGGTTACAGTTTCAGTAAGGCAAACTAGAAATGTTGTCAGACATCTATTTCAATGATTTTTAGTTTTTGTAATTGTATTAGCAAGTGCAAATTTTGGACGAACATTGTTCAATGACTGAATGCTATTTGCGGCTAGGGTGAAGGGGGTGGGGCGGGGGCGGTTAATCGTTTCAAGGGGAAACAATAGGACACGTCCGTAACACCTACGTGAAGTTTTAGACGCCAGGATGGTGACGACGGGACCGCCGTAATACTGTATACCAACTGCAGCCATGGGAATTACTGCGTCATTAACCATATCTGGAAAAGACAATCGTGAAAAAATTAGAAAACTGCGCGAAAACCGTTGCTTTCTCTCAAAGAAAGTAGCGCTAAACGTACAGCGAAATACGCGAACAGAAAGATTTTTCACAATAGCTTACCAGAAAATATCTCTGCAAGATTTGCTGGTGATTTGTTTGTATCTATCGTAAGCTGCGAGAAAACAAAGTGATAACGATGAAGCAAACTGTCAACTTATCAGAAAAACTACCCAGATCTGGGTAGCGAAGAGTCATCAGAATGGAGAGGGTCCTCAATAGGTTTTCAGGATCCGAAATTTCCCTTGTTTGAAGCTCCAGATTCGGAATTTTAAAGCAAAATCGGGGCCAGAATCAGGATTGAAAGTATGCACGGTAAGCGGGATGCCAAAAATAACCCTCGGGATTACGGGATTGCACGCAATTTTGGGTCAGGATTACGGGATCGAAGAACTCTGTTGGGGACCCTCTATGGAATGTTCCTCTGACGTCATTTCGCATGGCAACTAATGGTGGTATCTCGAAATGTCGCGTGACCGGTCAACATGACAGGCGAGTGAAGTTTCTGGCCGGTCAAGTCGCCATTCTGGCCGAACATTATTTTGAGCCCTGTAATGGCTAGATCAACTCCACACACGTATGCTGTTGACCCTTTCAGTACAGAGTACAAGATGGCGTCTGGTAAGGTGGCTCTAACTTTTGAGTCTGTGGACGAAATGCTAATGTGTAACCATTCAAATGACACCTCTTTGCTAGTACTTTCACATGGTACTATTTGTTCTTCAACATTTCACAAAATAAAATTTGGAAATTTTGCCAACTGTTGACTTTGTTGACTTTAGGCAGTGAAAGAGTTAATTCCTGTGACAGACCTGCCTAACTGGTAAAACATGGATAAAATGAAAGAAATGAATCTTCACCTTATGGTTAGCATTCTTCGTAGGTGGACAGGCTTTGCAAACAACGCTTAGTGGGAAGTGGATATCTGTTTGAACGACTCGAGGAGCCTCTAAAAAAAGCCATCACAACTTTACATGTTAGTAAAATAAGCTTTTTTGACTACACATTTATTCTACTATGTTAAAGATGTGTTTCATCTATGATATGTTGAGAAAGTGTACAATAAATTTGTATAGATTTTAGTTCGAAAGGTGGATTCTGTGTCATGGACAAATAGCACAGTGGATTTCATCTGCAGTTATTGTCTAAATCTTGCCATTCTTAGGGAGTGTTTACATGACACCGGGGCGACTTTCGCGCCGGCGCGAGTTCACTCCTGTTCCCTCTCATGGCTCTACATTTGTTTACATGATACCACCACAAAACCTCATGCTGGCGCGAGTCACCCCGGTTGTTGTACCGGGGCGAGAATTTCACTCCGGTACGAAATCTCGCCACGGTATCATGTAAACGCGAAACGACCACCCGCTTCGGTGTGAATTCGGTCTGCCGGTACCCTGGAACGGGTAGCGCATGCGTAATGTTTGCGATTTTGAATCGCACGTGTATTTAATCAACATGAAGTGTACCTTCAAATAACCCAGATATGAAATGACCCATGATCATGTAAACGCGATACGAAATCAAAAAGTCATGCCGATATGAAACTCGAGCCGGTGCGAGTTTTCTCATGTAAACACCCCCTTACACCAAGATATAAGTAGAATTTTTGTTACTCTGAGTACTTCTAAATCTGTTGACGAAACCCTTTTCGGTACTAAAGAAACAAGGAAACTGAGCCGAGCTAACTTTTGCAAAGACTTCTGGGACTGATACTAGGGATGGAATAAATTGCCAATAGCTGACCGGGGCGTCCCAAGTAACAATCCCAAAATCAATTGCGGGAAGCATTTCGGCTCCAGTCCCTTTCTCGTTTCTAAAGTGGAGAATGGTGTTTCTATTCAAATGACAGTTCTTTGGCAGAGCTTTGCCTTAGTACTCTCATTTAATAAGCATTTTTAGTATATACTAAAACAGTGGATAGTGTTTTTCGCGCGCTCTGATTGGCTACTCAATCAGTGAATATGCTGCACTATTCACTGATTCACCTCCAGTTCCTCCAAGCGAGCGACGCCAAACTCACGTAGGTTGCGAGCAAAATGCCTTCCCGGCTTGCTGCCGTTATAAACTAAGAAATTTCACAACTAATCAAGCAAGCTTTTTCCGAAGTACATGAAGAAGGTGACGAAGTTCGGCTTGGAAGTTTTAACAGGTAAAGCTTTGTCTTTTTTACTTGAATTTATCGATAAAACCGGTGAAAAGTTATTTGTTTACAAATGCAAATTAAGCTTAAGTCTTGCGTTACTTTATTTAGTTGACTTGTTCATAAATAAACTTAAAACTAAATTTAACAATCTTTTTTACAGAATTATTTTAAATACAAAAAGAATTCACAACTCCTTTTGAAGAAACTTCCCCGCAAGGGTTAAACAAACGCCTTCAAAAGTCTTATTTGTCGCTAAGAAAAAGCGACGAGCGCGGCCGTTCGGTAATGGCGCGCCAAAATTGTAATCGTTGGCAACAGTAAATGAGTTAAAAATCATCATTTTTGTGCTCAATTATCTCACTGTTTTAGTATATACTAAAACAATTATTCACCTCAGTGTCGGTGGCTAGTATTGGATATTTACCTCGCCGCTTCGCGGCCTCGGTAAATAATCAATACTAGCCACCTCCACTTCGGTGAATAATTGTTATATATTACTGGGTTCATTGTATCTGACGTCCAGAAGACAAACGTAACGGCAGGTTCAGCAGGATAACTCACCAGTGTTTGTAAGATATGTGGCTGTGATGTGCGCTTTTAAAGAACTTGGGATTGATCCCCCACGAGAATAAAATGACACTTCTGCAGATACGGGTTCACTTCTGTCACCTGTAAAAAACAAAAACGATTCTATGGATAAACAAACTAATAATGAGAAGGAAAGGGCGGAGGCAAGGTTGAGAGGGAGAAAGTTACGGAAGAGAAATGAATGGAGAGAGGAAGGTAGAATGAAAGTAAAGAAATGATAAAAAAAAAAACAAAATGAGGAGGGAAAGAAAGGGGGGGAAGAGGAATGGCGAGGAAAGGAGGAGTAAAGACAGAAATGGCGGGAGGAAGGAGGGATAAAAGAATGCTAAGGGTAGACGGATCGGGGAAAAACGGCGGCACGACGGAAGGAAGACATGGAGGGAAAAGGAAAGAGGGAGGAAGGGAGGAAGACTGAAATGAAGAAATGGAGGGAGGTACCAGGAGCAGTGGCGGATTCAGGGAAGGGGCCCGGGAGGCCCGGGCCTCCCCCCTAAACTTTAGACCAAACTGAGGCCCGAAGGGCCGAAAAAAAAATTTTTTGAGACCGGGCGCCCCCCTTATCGCAGGGTGTGGATGACCCCCACCCCCACACCCATATCTGAGGTCTGGATCCACCACTGGCGAGAAAGGGAAAGAGGGGGAGAAAAAAATGGATGGAAGGGGAGGAAGAAAGGACGTCACGAAGGAAGAAAGAAATTAAGAGAGAGGTAGGGAAGAGGGAGGGGAGGAAGGAGGAAAATGGAAAGAAAAAGGAAAAGAGGGATAAAAGAAAAAGAAATAAACAGAGGGACGAGGTAGAAAGGAAGGATGAAACGGATGGAGGGAGAGGAGGGAAACAAAAGAAGAAAGGGATTAACCGTGCATTGCTTACCAATTATTGGGAACACTATAGAAGATCTATTGCACATGATAGGAGGAGAGGAGATGACGCTGAGAACCACATTTTCTATTGGACTGGGAGCTTGTGATTTAAGGGTTACCTGCAGAGAAAGAAATAACTACCTTATTATAGGAAATTAACGCTTCATGAAATTAAGGTATTGGAAATTAACGCGAATTTAGAGGAAAACGACTTTCAAATAAAGGAAATCAACGCGAAAGAGGGAGTAACAAATCAAAATGCAGGAAATTATATAACGAGACGCTCACAAAAGTAATAAATTTTTGAGCCCACAGAAACAAAGTTAAATGGAAACTTTTTCGAGGTACTGTCACCAAACGTAAGAAGGGGGATCAAGCGAAGAAATCTGGCCACTTCGAGGGTTCCTGATAGTTTTACTGCCACTGACGGGTCTCCACCCTGATAAAATACTCCTCTTTCTTAGATATCAAAAATGTCCGAAGTGTATCCAAAATAATGAAAATCAAAGTCGCGAAATTTAACTTTACACTTACCGTATTTATTCGATTAAACGCCGCGGCGTTTATTAAATTTTTAGCGTTTCCAATGCGGCGTTTATTCAAGGGCGGCGTTTATTCAAGGGCGGTGTTTATTCGAGGGCGGCGTTTCTTACGAAATCACTTTTTTTACAATAACTGACAACAGTTATTGTAAATCGTTTGTAAATATTATGTAATTTAAAGATTCCAATGTCTCTCTTATTTTGCAGAAATACAATCGCAAGTGTCTGAATGGTGTAAATTACCGAGTTGAACGAGGTTTTTTTCATTATCCTCGAGTAAACGCCCCATTCTTCTGATTAGGTGCGGCGTTTATTCGAGGGTGGCGTTTAATCGAATAAATACGGTAATTGACGGCGAGGAAATAATTCCTCCATCAGCAAGAGGGTGCTGACTGACCCAGGCAACGGTCGTGTAAAGATCCAGTAAAAAGTAGTTAGCTTTCAGCTACGTCTTGTTGCAAAGCGTCACTGGCCCCCCAAAAAACTATAAAAACTGTGACTAAGCTGGCGTTTCATTTGTGACCAAAAGACCTATCCGGAGGGGTTTTCGAAACTGTACGAAAGTTATCTGGTAACCTAGGGGCTTCCTTACCGTAACTGTGATTGATGGGAACGTTTCATCATCACCGTCATCCATCATACTTTGCTGCACACAAGAAAATAAAACATCAATTTGGAAACAACACAAAATCACATAACACGTATTAACGTAACATGACGTAACGAAACCTAAAGCTACGGCAAAACGGGAAACAAAAACGTGCAACTTGTTTGGAAACATTGCTGCAAAACGAGTTGAATAGCGATGTTGCGCGTTTTACCACTGACGTTCAAACCTGTCAAATCAGTTTGTCGCATGTTGCGTGAACACTGACTCCTGATTGGATAAAATTACGTGGGATTCACGCCATACAAGGGGTTAGGTTATGTCACGTTTGCTGGCCTTGGGCCAGTGAAACGTGCAACATGTACAGATTTCGCTGCAAAAAGTAGAACTACTCTCCACTTTCTGCAACAACTTTTCGCAGCCTGTACGACCTGTTGCAAGACAGGTTTGTAACATCTTTTCAACCAGTTTTGCAGCAATGTTGCTAAACAAGTTGTACGTTTGTGTGGCCCATTTTACCGTTAACTCTGGCAGTGAGCACCCCGAGTGACTTCCTCAAGCAAAATCTAAGGACCTGTTTATAATATGCAGGTGGTGAACCCCAGGTAGGTGAGGCAACCCGCTCAGGTGGAGTAACCTGCCTGTCCATATAATCTTTCATTTTATTTTGATTACGTTTACACGATAAGTAAGGCGACCCAGCGAGGCGGGTTGCCCGGCCTGCCAGAACGGATAACCCCTCTTCTGCCGGGGTTAAAATTTGCCATATAAACGTTTCAAGGTGGGGTAACCCACCTAGCCGGGGTTGGGTTCATGTAAAATTAAATTCGCCCAAACTTCGCTTTTGGCGGTTGCTTTGCATCATTAAAAGTGACAACAGAAACCCAGAGCACTAAAGGTAGCAGTAAGAGCAGCAAGTGAGAGTAGAATAGCATTAACCGCCAAACTGACACGTCGTTTGCCCACGATCATTTTTGTGTACGTTCTTAGCGACCGTTCAATAATGTTGAGAATGTGTACCCCGTGATGGTAGGGTTATAAGGTTGCGAGAAAACGCGGGTTATTTTTTACCCCACCTAACCGGGTTACCTAACCTACTTGGAGCTATCCACCCTCGAGTAAACAGACGCTGAATGGAGTCCAGTTCTACAGTGTGTTGGCCTTACCATGTCAAAGTATTCAAAGTGTTCTAATTCTAAATTCAAATCTGTTATTAAGAACAAATTATTTAGTACAAATGGATGTTTTAGTATAGGTAATAGCATGATTTGTGGTGATATTTGGCATAAATACCACGAGTGATATTTCGAAATTGGTATACGTAATTTAAAGCTACCAATAGAAAATACCATCACGTTTGAAAACTGTGCCACATCAAACATTTGTTTTGTTTAATCTTCCTTACATTATATTATACAGAGTCAATGGTGTAACCCTTAAAAGACTCAACAAACAAATTGCTCACATACAACATTATTTCATGACAGCACTGTAAATGATAGTCTTAAGAAATGCCAGGAATATAACTGACTTACCGATACAGCATCTAGACTCGTTGGTACATGGACAGAAAGGAGAATGTCTTCTTTTTGTTGCGCACGTGGCAAAATTTCTACAAGAAATGTATACATTCAGAATACTACTTGCAAGTAGTGTAGGTTTACTAGCTACTTGCAAGGAAAGGCTCGTGGTACTGAAAGTAGACTGCGAGCAGTCTCTTATTTTGCTTTTGCGTCACAATAGATCGAGAGAAGAGCGTGAGAAGATAGACTGCGAAGCCGTGAGGAATGAGGACGGAAGCCCCAATCTCCCCTCCTTTTTACCATTAATTTGCATAATTTTACTTTTCCACTCACTGCGCTTGGCTCTAAGAAAAGAAAGACGACTGCTCGCAATCTGGGCAAAAAAGCGCGCGAGAAGGAGAAGGATGAAAACTCTCCTCCTTCCTCGCGCGCACATCGCGTTCTCGCGCGCCCTAATTCTCCCCTTCAAACCCCTGCCATGAAGGCCAAAAATAGCAGGGTTTCCGGTCTCAAAAACTCCGACTTTAAGAAGTGTCAAGGGACGGTTTGATGAACGAAACAAAGGTTTTCTAATCATTCATCTCACAAGATCTCAATTTTGACAATATTTCACTGTCAGAGTCAGATCTACACATGTATTGTCGGTTTACTACTTGACTGAAGCCTGAATGCAACTTATCAAATTTTCATCAAATAATACACAGAAAGCGCGGAGAACATGAAAGGCGCACGCTTAGGGGGAAGAAACTCCCCCTCTTTTCTCGCGCGCCATCTGTCGCAGCCTAAACATATCGGGTTCCGGTCTGAAACACTGCGACTGTAAAAAGCCTCGAAAGAGATAATCTGTTCATATTGTCCTTCAGCTGCGTGTTTGAAAGCAAAATATTGTAAAGAGAGTTTGATGAAGGAAACAGGAGTTTTCCAATCATTTAATTTTCAGTGAGAATGCAAGTAGAGGAAAAAGGGGGAGGTACAGGAGGGTAAATCTCCCTCCTCCCCACTTTTTCAGCCAATTTCTCCTTCCTCCCTACTTTTTCAGCCAATTTCTCCCTTCTCCCTATTTTATGCACCTTCCCCCTCAGGAAAGCGCCTAACGATTTTAATTTTTTTTTCATGAATTTTTTCCGTTTCAGTTTTCAACCACAATTTCTGATTTTTCACCCAAGCCGTCGTGCCAGCGAGTAGAAGCTGAGCTGCATAGTATATAGTTAAAATGCCAATGATGATTTAACCTGAACTAATGGTGGATTCCTTGATTTCTTTTTGAAGTTCTTTCATTTCATCATCTGCTTCCTAAAAAACAAAGTTAAATAAAGGGAATTAGTATCCATTTTACAATGCTTCACGTTACTTTCTGGTTGGAAACTTCATAGGATGTTTGAGAAAACAGACTACCACACTAGGAGACCCAGCGTGCAAAGAAAGTAGTGTCCGATAGCCCGGGGCTAGTGGATTTTGCTATCAGGCTAGTGAATTCTGTTTTTAACTTGCCCGACGGGCAAGTGATGTTTTATGAGGAGTTTGAATAACAGAAGAACAAAACGTTTTTGGGGCTAGTTGAAATGACGTCTGGGCTAGTAAATGCTAGCTTCAGCTTGCCCGAATGGCAAGCTGTAAAAATGATTTTCTTTGCACCCTGGTCAGACCTGAAGGTATATTTAAGCGTGGCATTTGGTGAAAGCTAAATGTTATTCATTTTAACGCTAAGTGCAGTCCCATCGTACCACTTACCTAAAACAACACAGTTCAATGAGCAGTGTCACAAATATTTTGCACAACTTGAATATCCAAGAAAAGAAGGGTCTGCATCATTGGACTACTTAAGAGTTTATATTATACTAAATGTAGTTTATATACACATGTGTTATTGGTTAAGCGTGGGGTCAAGACGGCTAAATATTGGCCAAGTTCTTTTATACGATTTTTTTCGTCGAGGTCAATAAAAACGCAAAAAAGAACGGGCCAATATACATGTAAAAGCATCTTCATCCAACAAGCTTGGTCAATAAAGAATTTATCATATGGCCAAAAAACAGAACTCTTTCTTGCGGGGAACAACGCGGGAAATCTCGAGGCGGCATGATGAGCCTATCTTACCGTAGCCAATCAGAGTGCTGGATTCGCTTCATCTTGCCCGCTCACGGATTCAGTCATATAATAATAGGGCGTCAAAACCGTTTCAAGGTGTCTTTGACTAAAGATAAACTTTTGTGTTGACACGAAAAGCACGAACAAGTCGTTCGCACACATTGAATATCGTACCAGAGCAGTCGGCCTAGAGTATCTGGTGCATATAATCCCAGTACTCTCTCCTGAATATTTACTTCGCAGTTCGGTCTCAGTTGGTTCTGGTCCTCGCTCCTAATTATTCACTTCCACTACGGTCCGAATAGCTGAAGGTGTTCCCATTGCGTCAAAGTGCGGCACAGGACTTATTCGGACATTCCGATATGTGACGCTCTATTTTCGAGATCGTCGCGGGTTTAGCTTCTTGTGTGTGAACAGAAGCCGTCTCTCCGGAATGGCTTTTGTGACGCGCAAGAGCTCTCCGGTAAAGTGCCGGTGAACATTTAACGGTTAACATAGCCTTATTCACCTTCAGTTGTGCTCACCTCATAATTAATGTCTCTGGCTTCAGGGGCAGGAGTCACCATCATTGATGGATCCGTTCCCAGATAAGCACAGTGAAGATAACCAGTGTCATCTAATGTTACTATCACACCTTGTAATTCTCTAAATTACAAAACAACAACAAGAAAAATGACAGTTACTTCAAGGCAACTGCCCTAGTGGTTATTTTGAGGTTTGCACGTGTCAAATTGCATTATGGGGCTTATGAGAGTGGAGCTTTATATAGGATTAACAGCAATTAAAATTAACTGCAAAGCGGTGCTCTAAGAAAAATTAAGGGGAGCCAGTCCTCTGAGCCTGTGAAATCCAGGTTGCCCAGCATCTTCTCTGTTACGCAATGCAATCTCTTTGAACCCAGGATTGCAACATTTTTGGTTGTATTGTTGCAAGTTCCAGGAAAAATCGTGACAGCAATCTTGTGCAAGGTGCTTCACAACGGCGCAAAGTGCGAGACAATTTCCAAGAAAAATTGCTGGTGGACTAGCTAAAATGGCTCAAAAGTTCCCTACTAGTCTTTTCTCCACTGCTTCCTTCTACATCCACTTTGTACATTATGCAGTAATAATAAATTGAATTAACGTAAATTGATAAAATAGGCTTCTCTATACTGCTTTCGTAACCACTGTCAAGACGATGTGCGTTTTTAATACTGGGCTGGTTGATTGCAACTATAAACATTAGTTTTATCAGTTAAGGTGGGTTTCCTCTTTTGCGTATTTTTTCAACCTCGTCCCCTGGTCGCTTTTGCCAGGGAAAAGTGCCCTGGGGACGAGGTTGGTATTTTTTACACTCATAAATAAAATAGAGGGAATGTATGAGAGGTCGCGCGTAAACGTTAAAGTAGCACCTCTCAGAACTTTACGTTCACTCGAGACCTTTCAAACATTGTCTCTATTATACTTATGCCTGTAAAAATTACGCGACAGTGGAAACCCACTCTTAGTGTTCGACTTACTGAAATGACGCTACTTTGACAGCAACAGGAATATGAGGAAGCTGCGCGGCCCAGGTTAGCGCTACATCTTGATATACCATAAGTGTTTTATTGAAGGTTGCTATAAGAGTATTCACTGTACCTTCCACCACTGAAAGCAAAGTTACGAAAAGTTATGGGACCAATCAAAACTAATAGCTACATCGATTAGGGTGGATTTCCACTATCGTGTAATTTTTACGTGCTTGCGCGTGGCGATGTTACTTGCGTAAATAAAAACGAGGCTTTATATAAAAGGTCGCGCGTAAACGTAAAAGTTATGTGAGGATCAACGTTTACGTTAACGCGTAGCCTTTCAAACATTGCTTCTATTTTATTTGCACGTAAGTTATACACGCGATCACACGTAAAAATTACGCGACAGTGGAAATCCACCCTACAGTAGTCAAAGTGCCTGTTGAGGTCGGCCTCCATGTTTGTGGTACAAGAAACAGGCGATACGTTTCGCGTTTTCAGGCAAAGGGAGGCTAGCGTGAAGCGGGAGGGGAGCGCGAGACACGCGACGGGGAAAGGCACGCAAAAAATTATCACCCGTCGGGCGAGTCTCGTGCTCTACGCCCGCTTCGCGCTTGCCTTCGCTCGCCTCAAAAACGCGAAAAAGAAAATCTCCTATTCTGCAAGCTGCAAGAACAGTGGAACAAAACTGGTATACCTTCTTTGCAAGGAAATAGCATAGGATCTGAATTCTTATTTTAAGCACATTGCACGGTATTTGGCTTAACTGTACATGTATGTCTGTTTTTGAGTCTCCACTATCATGTGACGAAATCTGGTAGTTGCTTAATAAAGATTCTGCGTTACAAAACTGAATTTTTTTAAATGCAATCCCGATTTTTCAAACTTTCAGTAAAAGTAGAATTGCGAGCAATGTCAGAGATAACTACAGAGTCTTGCCCAGGGGAAAAAAATGAACTTTGGTAACTGAGTAGCCTTGCACACGTATGCAAGGTTTATTGTAATGTGGGAAATCTGTAAGCCAAGATCATGCCGAAGCATTGCCGCAACAAGTACAGTTGTCTAAAAACACAAAACGGTTGTTTCGTTATTAACTTTGAATTGAAAAAGGTCTCATGTATGAGCTATTAATTCAATTTTAAATAATTAATTATTTTTTATTTTATTCTGAATTCATACCTGAATTGTAAGGAATAAAACAACTAGGATTGTATTCGAATTTTTTCATGAATCTCACTGAGCCGTTGTCATTTAAACAAAACAGTGAACGTTCCCCTGCAAAGAAAAAAAATTGTACCATCAAAGTTGAGTAGCATTAAAATAGCAAATCAAAGAGGACAGACGGCAAATTATGGTTGCTTGAAACATCTTTAAGTCATAACTGTTCATCAGCAGGATGCCTACTACCTATCAGGGCTCATACAAAAAAACGCAACCATTTTTCAAGGACTTTTTAAGGACTTTTCAAGGACCAAATTAGATTTTCAAGGACCACTTGCTAGGACTTTAACTTCACAGATTGTACAAAATTGCACATTCCCAGTCTATTCTAATAAGACTAAGGCTTAAACTGTTTGCTTCACCAACGTCTCTACATTTTTCAGTTCCCTTGTCTTCAACTGATAGTTAAATATTGCATAAAACATAGAGTACTTTATGTAAAAAAAGTTTAAATTCTCTGAGCTATAATTAATATTCTGCCTTGGACAACCAAAAAGCATCAAAAAATTCTTTCCAGGCCACTACATTCAAAGCTGAAGAAAATTCAAGGACTTTTCAAGGACTTACACAGAAATTTAAGGATTTTGAAGGAAAAATGGAATTCAAGGACTTTTTAAGGCCTTCCCCTACAATTATTCAAGGACTTTTTAAGACTGTGTGAACCCTGCCTATGCCTTTGGAACTGATAGAAATGCACACTTCATATACTTCACCTAAAACAAATATTGAAAGAGGTGCATTTGAGCTGCTGAAAATCACAATGTCAATAGCACTTTCTCCAATATTGCAAGTCCAGTCCATCTGAAAGAAAAAAAGGAATTACCAACTCATCTGGGGCATAATTTTCTGGTCCTCGTTGTTCAATAGGTGGATAGCGCTATCCAGTGAATAGATCTCTATCCAGTGGATAGAGCAATTAATTGGTTTCCACAATACTTATACACTGTATAGTGATTTACATGTATCTAGCCTGGGTAGCATGGCGGTTTTGCTTGGGCACGCAAAGTGAAAAAGATGATTTATCAGGTGGATAGCGCTATCCGACATATGAACAAATGGGGCCTGATTATCGGCAGTTGGTAGCCATCAGAGAAACCACTGCCAAACTACTAGCATTACATTGCACTTTTGACAAAAATACCAAAGAAAATAGCTCTTTATTCCATCACCAAAACATTTTTAGACACTATGACAAAAAGGTGCACGAATTTCAACCAGATGTACAGTAGATCATTACTCCAAAATACTATACATAAGTGGAGTGTTTGTTTCACCATCTTGTCCCCCACCTTGAATGAAACAAAAAGTACATGTATGCAAAGTAGGGATGGTTTGCTTTTTTGTTTTTTTTTTGTGTGTCTCCATCATAAATTGCCTTACAAAAATGTGGATGCTGGGTAAGGAATGTCAAAGACAGCAATTTCACAAAAATTTAATTTCCAATGTAGGCTAGCATAATTTATGCCATAATTGTTTTGTAAATCTACAAAATGTAACAATTAAAATGATATAGATCTCCCTCAAATATGCTTATTCATATTTTAGGAAGAAAAACAATGTATCACAGTTCATCAATGTGTCTGTGTTTTGCTGCAGCCCTTGTGCATGTACCGAAAGTACATACAGCATGTATGATGCTTGTGTGATGAATTTAAGACAAAGTTACTGTATTCAGAAGATGCACAGTCGTACATGTAATAAAAAACCCACACTTTTCATTAAAAACAAAAGTTAAAATTGAAATCATTTTTGACAGGTTTCTAGGGATTGAGAGAAGAAAATTTGGGGTTTGTAACAACAATCTACAAGACCAAACAATGTACATGTCATGAATAAGTACCGTTAACTTCTTTCCAGATACTTTTTTGTTTCCAATGTCCTCTTTTGTATTAGCATCAGTGGCAACAGCCAAAGTCTGATATCTGCGAACATAGGTGCATTGAGTTGATTAGAACATGACACTATGACTTAGAGTGGTTACAATCCTTTCAGTTTAAATGTAACACAGGTATATTGTACATTTTATACATGTACAGCAGTACTCGATCAATCAGCAACTTAGTGATAAAGTGTACCTGTTTGACCAGTGAGACTTAAAAATTTTGCACATCAAATAGAGTAATGTTCAGACCAAAACTGTTAGTATTGCCAAATCCTCCTCCTCCTCCTCCTCCTCCTCATCATCATCATTATCGTCACCATCATTACTAGGGAGCTTTATCAATGACAACGGCGACGGCAACGAGAACGAGAAAAGAGCAATAGGTTTGTTAAGCAAAACACCAACTTTGCACATGCATCACGCTTTTTTGTACATTTCTTTGCCGTCACTGCACAACTACCACGTGAAACTGCCTAATTTCACGCTTTGTGGAGGACGTAAACAAGCGACGATGATTTTTTCTTTCTCTTTCTCAACGTAAGTGCGGTCCCTAAGAATTAACTGTAGTGAAATTCCATTACAGTTGACATTTTCAGCGGATTGGACTATACGCAACAATGTTTGAAACATCGTGAATGCCTTTTCAAAGTGACGTTTTTGCTGCCGTCGCTGTCGCCAATGCTAAAGCTCCCTACTGTCATCATCATCATCATCATCATCATAACCATCACCGTACCATTACCATCAAGTAAAACCAGTTGCTGGCGGGTACCTCTTAGCTGCATGTATATTTGCAGTGTACATGTACATCTTGTTGTCAAAAAGCACAAGTACAGCTGTAATTAAGTCAACACAAGCACAGTCCTGTACAAATAGACTTAAATAGTCCAGTTTTCAGTTCACTATGACCACTGAACTAAAGAAGTGAAGTCCCCTTTTTTTACAGGCTTAGTCTCCTTCTGAGTAATATATTCACAAATTCCAACGAGAAAAAGACCTCTTTATTACTCTGTCTATTGTGTAACTATATTCAAATTTCCAACACTTACTTGCCAGAATTTCTGAATATTTTACCTTACATCGAGGCTAACCCTGTATGAATGTGTTGTTAATGTTTCTATTCAGCGGTATTTTTAACTCAAAACTGCACTATTACACGCGGGAGAATAAAAGTTTCGAGACAAGGCCACATACTTGTAAGATTCCACCAGTCTAGAAGAACTGACAGTTATGAATGAATCAGTCTTGGTGATGTATCTCAATGGCCCAGGGAGAAGAAATCCGGGAAGAAATCTTCCAAATGCAAAGCTCTCTTGTTCGAAAAATGACAGCATACCATCCATGGATTGCACACACATAAAATCTTTGTCTAAAACAAAAAGAAAGGCAGATTGGACTTGATGGCCACTTTGTAACTCTCTTTTACTAAGCCCTGAGCAGCGATTCTTTTACAATTTGCTAATAGTGAGTCCTGGGACACATCTTATGAAAAATTATGAGTCCCAGTCCAGACATCCCACTTCAAAAAATAATGAGTCCTTACTCCTATATTAAAAGATGACACAACCCTCATGAAACCAGACTATCACATTTAATCTGTACGACATTATCAATAGAAAGCACTTATCTTGGTAATACATTATAGTCAGTGTACTGAAATCAAATTACAGTCTTTCTAGCAAAAAATCAAAAACAGAAATGCTGTCACTCTCATCAGAAACTTATCTTTTTTGTCACAGCATATTCCCCATGAGTGCAAAACATTTTTGAGTAAGATTTTCTAATTTTCATATTTTAACAAGCCCTTGAAGCTTAGAATCAGTTAGACGAAAGCTTCGCCGTACTTCGAACCACTGTCAGCCATCTTGGTTCAGCCACATGCTTTCCATATATGGCAAACAGACATCTACATGTATCAGGTAAATAAACGTGGCTGCTTTAATAATAATAATAATAATAATAATAATAATAATAATAATAATAATAATAATAATAATAATAATAACTGTTTATTCACAAATCCAAATCGGAAAGTGAAAAGGAGATAAAAGAGGTTATCCCTTTCTAGTTTATCTCCTGATAATAAAATACATTAAGAAATAAATTATTTACAACTGTTTAAAATAGTAACTATATATGTATATAAAACATCACACAGTAAAAGAACTTAGTGTTCACTAGAAAAATCTATAAGATAAAGTCTCAGTCTGTTCTTGAAAATATTCAAATTCTGCGCCTCAGCAACTTCCTTTGGGAGATTGTTCCACTTATCTATTATGCGTATAAAAAAAGAATGTTTAAAACTATTTAAAGTTGCTGATGTAAGCTTAAGTTTAAAACGATGGTTGGCTCTTAAGGGCCGAAAATCATGTGCAAATGTAAAAAATGCCGAGGGATCAAGTCCATTAAGTCTATTTAAGAAAAATCTTATCAGTGCATTGCATCCCCATGGAAATTTCTCTATCTATTTGTTACCAACAGAACTTGTTCTTAACCTAGTTAACGAGTGGACGATATAAATTTACTCTTCAATTCATATTTTAAATCGTGGAAACACGGCATTCTTCAAAACACATCTTTAGATAGATCAATTGATCGCGATCGATCGTTGCGTTCCAAAGGATGCAAGCCATCAATGATATTATTTTGCGACCTCGAGAATTTTTATGCATCAGGGACGCAGGATGTAGAGGTAACAAAATGCCTGAAATTAATGGAAAAAATGTATTCTGTACATTTCCCTATGGTGTTATTGTTAGAAAAACGTAAATGTTTTAAATACAATATAGACCTTCTACCTTGAACTGTACATAGAGGTTGTACATGTTACAACAACTATCTGTAAGTGAAATTGTTTGGGGTTTCATTGGTGTTTATATCATAAAATAATAAAACATTGCGTGGCTGCTTGGAGATGAGGTACATAGTATGAAATCTCTCTCCTTGTATTGCATTGAATTTAATATTTCACTCATTAACTGTGCTCATTCTAAAATATTTTTCAACATCAACAGAAAGAGCGAATTTCGTATCTCTGCAAGGATTTGTAATAAAATTATTATCCTCTATTTTTGCTGCTCAGGGCTGTCATTAAAATTTCAAGTTTGCAGGTTGATGATATAAGTAGGCAGGGCATCCAACAGCTAGGGAATTTGCTTGGTTCTGTTTTTCTTCTATTTTCCTACAAAAGTAGGCAGGGGTCACATAACAGCGGTGGAAAATCCCCGGCCCTGGTCCCTTAATGACAGCCCTGCTGCTACAGGTGTTCTATCTGCAGTATAATTCACACACTACAAATAGACATGTACGAATGTACATAACAAGAGAACTCACTTTTGACTCCACCAAAAGGACCATATGTCATGTTACAAGCTGTTCTCTCCAAGATATGTTCATAAACCAGGTTAAGAGTGTAATGATTTCCATGTTCTACAGCTCCTGATATCACTAGAGTGAGGCAGAACATTCAATTACATTTAGCACATACTGTACATTGTAAAAGAAACTTGTATAAGGATGGATTTTGTATTGTAGGGTTAATCATGCCGATCAAACACTCTTAAGTTCAAAGCTGTCTTCACAATCGCATTTTTCACTGCTGTCAATCACAATTACAATCATGAGAAACGAACCACGAAACACAGAAACACACAAAACGGATTGAAAGCCACCGATCGAAAATCACAAACCCATGACCTTTTGAACCTGTTAAAGTAAAGTTCTGTTTCCTAAGAGGTCCACTAAGATCATTGACAACAGGGAAAAATGCAAATGTCAGTTCGCTTTTAAACTTCAGAATTCACCTGTTTTTGAAAAGTGCAGTAAGCATAAAGCGTCACGATAATAAATTCAATTGTGATACAATATTCATTAAAATTCAAACACTACACAAGGTTCTCATAAAGTGCCTGCAGCAGGCTAAAACACTGGCTACTTGGAGGTTTGAGCTGTCTACTTTTTGGAGAAATGGGTAAAGAGAAAGAGTGAAGCCTGAAATTGCCCACAGCACTCAGTCACCAAACTGCCTAATTTTACATCCTACAACGTAGCTGTCTACATGTACACGTACTTTAAAACTTAATGAGAACCCTGCTACAAAAAATAATAATAAAATAGAGTCTAAGCTTCAAGAATACCACAAATGGCAAACAACAGATTCAAGTTGAGAATTTCTCAAAATAGAAAATGAGCAGTTAAACCCAGTTCAAAACAATTCTTAAGGATAAAAAGTCGCATGAAACTACTAATGACAAGTATGGGGCGCCGTTTGTAAAAAAAATGATTTAGCTTAATTTTGTCATTTTTTTCGTTATTTATTAAATAAAGTTTTCTGATATGATATCATACGTCAATGATTTGATATAATAAATGTTGATTTCAAATCATGCGTTTATGATTTGATATAATAAATTATTATTTAAAATCATGCGTTTATGATTTGATATAATAAATTCTGATTTCAAATCATACCTTTATGATTTGATATAATAAATTATTTTTTCAAATCATACCTTTATGATTTGATATAATAAATATTGATTTCAAATCATAAGTTTATGATTTGATATAATAAATCCTGATTTCAAATCATAAGTTTATGATTTGATATAATAAATCCTGATTTCAAATCATTCGTTTATGATTTGATATAGTAAATCCTGATTTCAAATCATAAGTTTATGATTTCATACAATAAGTTCTGATTTTAAATCATAAGTTTATGATTTGATATAATAAATCCTGATTTCAAATCATAAGTATATGATTTCATATAATGAAAATCATTATTTGATATCAGTAAAACCATGATTTAACTTAATAAGTAATAAGTAACCGCGTGACTTGGCACGTGGGTTATTAGCGCGGGAATAATCGCAAAGATGGCTACACAACCGGATGAGCTATCGAGGTCAATCGCTTCTGCGGTCTCTAGAGCCGTAGAAAGGGCGGTTGACGAAGCTTTGGCATCTCTTCCGAGCCTTCCTGGCAATTCAGGTTTTGCTCCTGCGACACAAGAGGTATGTAACATTGATGTATCACTGCTAAAGCATCCCAGTCGCTGCCGGGGTGATGACCTGTGTGTCGATGTGATTAACAAAAACATCATTATTGATGTCTTCCAAGCGCCTCATCTATTTCTTACATGTTGCACTGCATCATTAGTTAAGGGGATTGCATGTTAAGCGGAAAGCTATGACTATATTTACGAGGGAAAGAGGACTTTTGGACCTTTCGCTTGTCTGGCGCATTGCGTGACACGCGCGGCTTAGTTTTAGATGTGTTTGCTTCCTTTGTTATGTCCTTTTAGTAGCCATACTAAAATAACATACAGCTAATGATTGTTTCTATTTCACAAAGTGAGGCGACAAGACATTTCGTCAGAGAACAAGAGATCGAGACAAACAAAGGGCTATTTACACCTCAACACCGGGAGGAGAAATTATTAGTTAGTGACATCGGTCCAAGCGTCCTTGGCGAACAAAAATCATTGTACAGGCGTAACAGTGAGACTCTGGTTTGGCGACAAATCGCAGTAGCATATATATGTTTCATCACCATCATCTTTTCATTTGCCTGGCCGTAAATAATAATAAGAATAAAAGTCTCCGCGCTACAGTAACTATTTCCGGTAACGCTACTGTGCACTGCTTGTGTGAATTGTATTTATCATGTGGACATCTGGTTCTTAAAAACCCATCATGTCTATTTGTTAGTCCAAGCGAATTGTGAACAGGTTAGACTTTGTTAACGCTTACTAAACAAACCCGTCCACGAGAAACATATTTACGTACCTCTTCACATATTGATTTGTTTACCATATCATGTTGCAGACAAGGCCAACAGGAAGACCTCCCCTTCCCACCATGTTACGTGGTTCATCTGGTGTACCACCAGCGGCAAAAAAGAGGCGGACAAGCCATAAACAAACTAAAATTTACAATAAGGACATTATTTGCCTCCCACATGTACCAGGTGATGATGTCGTCATCCCCATTCCTCGAGGAGAGAAACGTTCAAAGCTTGCTGCAATGGGCCTCATTGGGAAGATAGCCATTCCCTCGGTGTGGCAGTCCTTCCAAGTACAGGCCGAAGTCAGCAGTGTCTTCTCGTCTGCATTTGGCTTATCTCAGGGAGACATTCTGTCATATGAGTACTTGAGGTACATGAACTCATTTGATTAAGGTTATATTTTCATCTTAATTTGGCCGCTGTAAAACTTCTTTTTTTTTTTTATTGATGCTCATATCTTAATTACTTATTAGTTTCTCATTTTTGGTCCAATAGGACCATGCCGGGGACAAAAAAGCTAAGCATTCCAAAGACCTCTAGCTCATTCCAATGGAATGCCCCAGAAGTCGTGTCCTTGTGCAGTCAAGGTTCGTTGTATATCATGGCAAACAGGCTGCCACTGAAATGGCCCGTAAGTATACACCTTTTTGATACGAATGAGCTACAACAACCTTATAGCATAGCTACGATTGTTCATAAATTGAATTAAAAGAACTGGCCTTATAGTACTGATCCCATACGTCTATTAATATGGCTTTCTTTTCACGTGGATAAGAATTGCCTTGAACTTGCTACTTTTTAAGCTTCGAAGTGCGACGTATCTGCGAGTGCGGTTTATCCGCCGGTGTTTACTGTATATGTTATCCATTACCATTCCTTTCCTTAGGACGGCTCAGACCAACTGACACTATTCGACATGATGCCTGACACAAAGGAGAATATACAGTATGTGGAGAATGAGACTGTCAGTCACGGAGATTCCCCAGCTCCACCGATAACTCAGGAATCCAACCAATTAAACCGGCCTTCATTGTCGACTGAAAACTATTGGTAGTTATATTATTTTATATGGACAGTACTGACGATTCAAGTACAGTGCCGTTTGCAAATCTGCATGCAGATGTTTTAATTTTAGAAGTGGTTTTGCGATTTCGATCTCAAGCTGTTTAAAGCCTGGGTCAGGAATGTAAAGTAGAGTTATGGTTGGGCAGCTATATGTCTTGTTATATTTGTTTTACCAGGCTGAACTTTTCTTTGATTATAACATTCGACGTCCTGCCTTGCCTTAACATATTATTTGACCATGTGACATGTCACGTGATCATTTTGTTAAAATTTGGTAAATCGGCGAATTGGTGGAGAATTTCCATCCTATTGAACAATAAATGAGTGTTTTCGATGCAAATTTAAATTATCTACGTTGCTACGTTTGGAATGATCTTCCTTGATTTCGTTTTTGAAGATTTAAATTATCAAAAGTTGAATTTTGTTGAAAAAAACGACCTTTCACCCTATAACATTTTTCTGTGAAAAGAGGGACGGTCATTCCAATCGTGAGAGGATGTAAATAATTGACCTGCATCTAAAACACGTTTTTGCTGGATGATATTACTGAAAACCGCCACCAATTCCTCAAATAAATAACGTGACATGCCCCTTGACTTGGCAGAAGTACCAATTCTACTCTAAAATGTTCAGGACGTTAAAAACAAACTGTGTGCTAAGTCTGGTTCCATTTCCATTTATACCTTTAGAAATATAACTAATAAATTATTGTCACCAGTAAAAGCCTTTGACCCAGGCTTTAAACTACTTGAGATGTGAATATATGAAAGCTCATATATTTGAACTGCGGAGAATGATATACCTTCTACGGGTATATTACGAACTCTCAAAGTGGCCAGCTCCCAGTTAGCTTGATGGCTCAGTCGGTAGAGCATTGCACTGGTATCGCAGAGGTCATGGGTTCAAATCCTGTTCAGGCCTGTATTTTTTTTTTCAGGCTGTAATTTCACAACTGCTTAAGTTGTGTGCATCACTGCGATGATCAATCATATCTGCATATTATGCCCCGCAGTTCAAATATATGAGCTTTCATATATTCACTTGTATTCGTCACCTTCTATGGGTATATTACAAACTCACAACGAGGCCAGCTCCCAGTTGACTTGATAGCTCAGTTGGTAGAGCACTGCACGGGTATGGCAGAGGTCATGGGTTCAAATCCCGTTCAGGCCTGGATGTTTCTAGGGCTTTAATTTCACAACTGCTTAAGTTGTGTGCATAACTGAGATGATCAATCATATCTTCATATATGCGTTACACTTATAAAGTTTTCGAGAGCAAACGTAATATATCAATTTCCCAGATGTATGACCTTGCTGTTCAAAGTGGTATTGATCAATTTTGAATATTCTTTTTAAGTTTGCCTAGTACGAGCGGAACAGCACAGCCCTCTGAATTGCCTGGTGCAGTTAATAGTTTAAGTGTGCACGCGCTGCAAGAAATATGCCCAAGTGCAAGTTTGTCTGAAATACAGAGTGCCCTAGCTGTATCCAATGGTAATGCTGATGAGGCTGCACAGCAGCTTCTAGGTAATGTTTTTACTGCATATTATATACTTTCCGGAGTCCATTGGTTCCCAGCAAAAGTATGTTAATTACACTTCAGTTATCAACATTTTCTTATCATTTCTCTTTCAAACTCTCTTTAACCAACAGGAGCCACGAGTCTTACTGGTCTGTGTTCCTTGGACAGCGATGATCTTGGTCCCAAAGGATCAGATGACTGTGAAAACTTGTCAGCAGCTGTTGCCCTACAACGGTTTCAAGAAGAAATTATAGAACACGATCAGCCAGCTCAACGTATTACTGTCAGTCGAATGGATGGTATCAATGAGCTGCGGGGAGACATCATGGGGATTTACAAGAATCCCAAAACAAAGCTAAATGTAAACCCAAGGGTGCGCTTTGAGGGTGAAGATGGTGTGGGGTGTGGGCCAGTTCGAGAGTTTTTTGTGAATGCAATTAAGATCATAGATGAAGGAATCCATTCTTCATGCGGCAAGCCAGTTGTCTTCTTGGAAGGTGAGGCGGACCATCGTCTTCCGATTCATGACCAAGCTCTTCGTCTTACGGGAGCATTTAAGGCACTGGGGAAGATGATTGGCCATTCCATTTTGCATGGTGGCCCAGGACTGCATGGTCTATCACCAGCAGCAAAACATTACCTTTCAACAGGAAGAGGGGGGTTTGATGATCAACTGCCACCACCCATTGAACTGGCAGATATTGCTGACATAGATTTGCGAAATATGATATCAGAGGTTAGTTGGATTGTGGAGCTGTTGCTAACGAAAACAGTAGTTTTTTGTAGGCATTTTTGACGCGTTTTGTAACACTAAATGATGCATTTTATTAGGTGGCCTCCTGAGTTGAAAAATTATCATTGCCTTTGCATTGCTAGTGCCTTTTCCCTTTGCTTACTACAATTGAAACGTGGAGGAGAGGGGCAGAGGTCCAATTGGTTTTATGAATCATAGATAACGTAACCTCCTGTAGAATCTAACATAAACAAAAACAGTACTAAAACATCGCTAAAAACACCCTAAGTAGACATGTCAGTCACATTATAATTTTTATGGTTATGCAAATTATTTTTCCATAAATTATTTATTCTCAAGTTGGGTGCTTTACTGCATAGCCAACTTCTGATAAATTCCTTATTTAAAGCTGTTATTACCAATATTAATGTTACCATAATTATTATTACTATTATTAACATTAATTAACCGTGATTTAACGCATTAACCAGCCAAATATAAAGGCTCCTTTAGAAAGATGTTGACAAAGATGTTTTTTATTTTACTTTGTAAAATTTATTTTTATAGCTGGATTCCCTGCCCAAGGATCAGAACCCAACCCCAGAAGCACGATTCTCTATAGAACCATACCTATTTGAGGCAGGCTTAGATCCAGACAACTTGTATGGTAACCGAAAATTCCTTTTGGATGGATTAATGGTTTTCCATGTCATAGATAAAAGACATTTAGAACTGGATGATTTAGCACAAGGTAATAAGTTGTCTTTAATTACGATTATTTTTCATGGTTTTGAACAGAAGGTGGAATCATTAGAGTCAGGTAAATGACACTGATACAATGAACAGTCAACAAGGTGCGCCAAGTTAATTATCGCTCACAGAAAACCAGGATGAGAAATAAAAATATTGAAAAATAGATAACAGCAAGAAGTTCTCTACATTTCATGCTAGGTAAGCTCTACAAGCTGCCGCCATTAGGAAAGCCTCCCCACCCCTTAAAAAACACACAAGGTAAAATAATGGAGGGGTTTAAATGTTTTTGAAAAATCGGACGGATGTATTTTTAGGTCAAGAACCAGGAATAGTGTGTGCAATTATGTTCTGTCGGAGAATACACAATAATGGGTGAACCAATCAGATGCACATATTTCCAGTAGAAGATGCTGGGTGTCTACTAATGATAGTTTGGTAAAATTTTAAGGTTTGAGATTTAGTAAATTATTGTTATCTCCTAGGCATGGAGGAAGTTTCACTTATTAGCTTCTTGAGAAGAAGCCCATCCCTTATGAAGGTTGTATTCCCCTGTGAGTCAGATAAGGTCATCCTTGCAGAAGAAGTTAAAGAGTTGATGACCTTTGAAGACAGAAGGGACAGTGAGCAGAATGAAAGAACTGCACGGTTTTATGAATTCTATATTGATGAACTGGAAGCAGGAGTGAAAGGTTAGATAGATATCAAAACAATCTATCAGATAATGTACTTTTCCTACACGCATCTCAACGTTATCCTGAGACACAAATACTTGCTTTTCTTTAATTTGCTATAACTAAGTACCATTGCCAAAATTTATTGCTTAGTACAGTAATGAATCCAATTTTAAAATTTATTACGTTTCGTAGTTTTTCAGTTATTATATGTTTCAGTTGGTTTTTAAAATGAAATATACAAAAACCCGGCTGTATTAAATTACATTTATGCCAAACCCAATCCATTCCCCCTTAGCCCATCTCAAACTTCAAACTGAAAATAAGAAATCCTTAACAAATGAACTTTCCTTCTTACTTTTCTTCAAGGTGGACCTCAGATGGTGGATCTGGTAAACTTTTGGACTGGTGCAAGTACACTCCCAACTGGAAATGATTCAGTACTAGTTAAATTTGATGCTGGGTCAAGCACATTGCCCCTAGCTGAAACTTGTTTCAGAACTATTGTACTTCCAACAGAGCACTCAACTTACGATGAATTTAGAAAAAACATGGACATAGCTTTAAAGTTTGGATCAAAAGGATTCAGTTTTACATGAGTCCTGATATTCAAGGTCAAAATTAATGATAGATTACTAAGTCTAAAATTTGATGTTTAAAAGGTTATTAAACCCGTTGATACATATTGCAATATTTAATCTTTGTTCCAGTTCAGTATTTATACTCTTTTGACAATGAATTTGTCACTCAGAGCAAGTAATTTGAAGAGACAATAATTGCACAATGTTATACGGAGTACATGAAAAATAGCGATGATAGTTACAAGTACTACACATTGCCAGTGATACTATTTTTCGTTCAAGTAAAATTCGCCACACAAATAGTCTCCTTTGTAGCCGCTATTTAGTTGTTAAATTCTTGACGTTCCTCTCCAAAATGTTTTGAGGATTGTCACGTGATAAGCTGGAATACGGCTAAGCGACGGAATAATGTCCGCGATTTGCATAGCTTTACTTATAATAACTGTAACGTTCACAAGGCAATATCCTTATTTGAAAATGTTAGGTTCCAGTTCTCTAATAACAGAACATCCAGAAAATCCACGTAGACGCATATTAATGGTCACAAGGTATATAATAAATTTGAATTAAAGTTTAAATCAGTGCTGGACTCGTCAGTAGCAAAAGTTCCAAACGTCTACTTAATAGATAACTTATGAACTACAACAAAACTCCCGTGTCACTTCTTTACTTATACATGGCGCATAAACAAGGTATGAATCACCAACGGTGTCTTTAAAGGCGTTACGCTAGGACACAGCTCAATTCTGTTGTAGGCGTATCCCGACGAAACGCAGTGTTTGAATGTACAATTCTTTCCCATTAATGGTGGACAGTGGATCTATAGTATTCCGCAGAACCACTGTATCCGCCTCAGTTAAAGGATTTCGTGTCTCGGGAACTTGGACATGAGGTAAATCTGGGGACATCAAATCATTAACACTGACTCCTCGCCATGTGATGTCCTCGGGAAATCCCCCATGGAACGCGGTGAGGGGTAGGTTAAGATAAAACATCTGAGCAGGAGTTTGATTGTTTTCTGTGGAAACGGCGTGGTTGTTATGTGCTGCGATGAATTCGCTGATACTCCTGTTTATCCTTGGAAGATATACGTAATGCAAACAAAAAAGGTCCGTTTCATTAAGCGGATCGAGAAGCCCCTCACTTTCTAGTTGATAGAACTCTTCTCTAAAAACAGACAATTCTTGCTCATTGGCAGCTCGGTTGTGGCGTTCAACGCGCTGGTTGTGAACCGAGCTTCCTACTATCACAGACCTTGCCTCTTCTCCCCAGGCTTGAATCATATCACGCCATACGTCCACATTTTCTCCGCCGTGGTCCGTTCTCACACGAAAGGGACGTCCATACTTTCGCACAGCCTGATGATACAATTGAAGCACAGTGCTTGCTCTGTTGTTCGTGGAGCAGGCACCAAAAACTACGAGCCGGCTATATCCGTCAACGGCATGATGCAACACCATTCGCCATCGTACCAGCTTGTGGTTTCCGTCGATGTGCCACACATAATTCGGGCATGGCACCGAGTAAACGCGTCTTCTTATAGGAGGATGAAAACGTGACATGGGACCGTTTGGGTTGTTGTGGTGTATAGCACTCCTAACTCTTGATCTTTGAACGTGGAAACCGCGAGCCCTCAGATGACCCATAACCATCGATTCTCCAGCATTCGGATGGCTTCTCGAAATGACTTCGACTGCTTGACGAATCTCAGCCTCACTGGCATCTGAAAACCGCTTGTAGTTAATGTTGTAATCGCGGATAGCTTTATATACGGTAGGTCTAGAGACATGTAAAGCACTGGCAATGTCTGATAGAGGAATTTTTAATTTTAAGAATGCTTCCAACTGCTCTTTGCCGATGGCTGTTCTTGGCCTCCCTTTGGATCTGCAAGAAGTTAACGTAATGTCAGTAGAACCCCCATTGATGTATACCTCAAGTACTCCTCGGCCGACCATTTCTGGCCTAAGACGGGTACAGGATACATATGACGAGGGTGGGGTGGGAAAGGGAAGGGCAAGAAAGGAGATCTGACACCAAAGAAATGTCGATTTTTTTACAACTTGCAAGGCGAACAGTTCATGTGCTAGTCAACGATTTTTAAGGGTCCCTCCCTTAGGCCCTGTTCACAAGAGGTAGGGCTAACCCTAGTGCTAGGGTTACCCTAGCAAGAGGGTTACCCTAGCACTCCCACGCTTCTTTTTTGTGACAGACGTGTTTACAAGGTAGGTAGGGTTACCCTTGCGCTAGGGTAGCCTTAGGTGAGCGCTAGAAATACCGGTAAAACAAAGGAATTGTGACTTTAGAAACATCGTATAAGTGAACAGTTTGTTTTAGTTTTGCTTTGGATAGAAAAAAATTCAAATAACAGGTTTTTAATTTGGGACAAAATTTTCGCAATAATTTTGTCGGGGAAGTGTTTATAGTTTTGCCGTCAAATTCATGCAAAACTAAAACAAAATAACTAGGTTGTGTGTCTGGAATTCTAAGTGAGCTTAGAAAATGAAATGATTTGAGTGGAACCAAAACTACGTAATTTAGGTGAAAATAAGTTCTGGCAATAAAATCATTACGGATTGCGTGTTTTATTTACCAGGTTAACTGAAGCGTAACGAGCCAGATATCTGAAAGATTGCTTGTAAACGCGGGCTATCTTTTACCCTCTTGCGGGGGAAATCCTAGAACTATGATTACCCTACCTGCTTGTACAAAGGGCCTTTGATTGAAGCAACTGTTTTTTTAGAGAATGTTAGACTACATTCAAGTTTAGAGACATACAAGAAAGGCTTATTAGGATCAAGGAACACTAACATTAAATTTGAAATACACACTTACCTTGGCATTTGGTCCACGTCATTTTCCACATCTTGCGAGGTTCTTACTGCTTCTTCTTGCTGAATGACAGATGAATTATCAAATTCATTCAATTAATTTTTCTACCATGTAAATTTTTCCACCAGTCGGACAGGTAAATCAGTTTCTCGCCTTACTTTGTGAAATAAAAACAATCATGCACTGTATGTTATTTTAGTATGGCTACCAAAAGGACATAAAAAAAGGAAGCAAACACATCTAATTTAACTAACATAGTATTAACCATGAGCCGCATGTGTCACGCAATGCGCCAGACAAGCGAAAGGTCCAAAAGTCCTCTTTCCCTCGTAAATATAGTCATAGCTTTCCGCTTAACATGCAATCCCCTTAACTAATGATGCAGTGCAACATGTAAGAAATAGATGAGGCGCTTGGAAGACATCAATAATGATGTTTTTGTTAATCACATCGACACACAGGTCATCACCCCGGCAGCGACTGGGATGCTTTAGCAGTGATACATCAATGTTACATACCTCTTGTGTCGCAGGAGCAAAACCTGAATTGCCAGGAAGGCTCGGAAGAGATGCCAAAGCTTCGTCAACCGCCCTTTCTACGGCTCTAGAGACCGCAGAAGCGATTGACCTCGATAGCTCATCCGGTTGTGTCGCCATCTTTGCGATTATTCCCGCGCTAATAACCCACGTGCCAAGTCACGCGGTTACTTATTACTTATTAAGTTAAATCATGGTTTTACTGATATCAAATAATGATTTTCATTATATGAAATCATATACTTATGATTTGAAATCAGGATTTATTATATCAAATCATAAACTTATGATTTAAAATCAGAACTTATTGTATGAAATCATAAACTTATGATTTGAAATCAGGATTTACTATATCAAATCATAAACGAATGATTTGAAATCAGAATTTATTATATCAAATCATAAACTTATGATTTGAAATCAGGATTTATTATATCAAATCATAAACTTATGATTTGAAATCAATATTTATTATATCAAATCATAAAGGTATGATTTGAAAAAATAATTTATTATATCAAATCATAAAGGTATGATTTGAAATCAGAATTTATTATATCAAATCATAAACGCATGATTTGAAATAATAATTTATTATATCAAATCATAAACGCATGATTTGAAATCAACATTTATTATATCAAATCATTGACGTATGATATCATATCAGAAAACTTTATTTAATAAATAACGAAAAAAATGACAAAATTATGCTAAATCATTTTTTTTACAAACGGCGCCCCATAGACAAGTAATGGGGAAACTTGTTCACGTGGTATAAATTGGCGTTTGCCATTTGCCGTGAACTTGATGCTTAACCTCTCTAAAAGAAACATGTCCACACGATAATATCAATTTCAACCTGGTGACCAGCCATCAATTAATTCGAGTTCACAGGAAATGAAGACACATAAAAAGATGTTATTCATAAACTTGATAAACTAGCTATTAAAGAAGGAAGATCTTGAACTTCACTCCTTACTCGTCTGATTTTTTCCAACTTACCTGAAACACTGTAAACAGCAAGCTTCTTTGGATGAAGAACAGCTAAATGAAGTTGATCAATTCCTCTGAAAGCAGACAGAATGCCAGAATGATTAGTACATGTAGTTAGCTTTATTGCAGAAGTAGGTCCATCTTTTACTCAAGCAACAAGGGAATAGCCTGTCAGAGTAGCCGGGCAAAAACATGACGAAGTTCATGTGATTGTTTATAAACAATGTTTGGCTTCAGTGGTGTCCAGGCCTAATATTTCTCCCTGATTACTGGGATAAGAGTGAAGATTTCTGGGATAGCATTTTACAATATTCGTATCACCTCAGTCATCTGAGAATGTTTCTATTATGATCACCTCAAATTTACACGATCATCCCAATTTTCCAGGTAGAACTCAATTCTATCCAAACGATCGAGGTAGTCTCAGTCATCTGGGTCTTTCGCGATCATCTGAGAAATGTTTCCATATCATCGTCCCAATCGCCCGAACATTTTTTGAAATGACTAAGGTAATCTGGATGATCATATGGACACCAGGCTTTACAGTCACAAAAAACAATTAACTACTTACGAAACAAATCTCCCAGCTTCCACTTGCAATATGGGTTGCTGAAGTTGGACCTCTAGCATAAGGTCATCAGGCTTAAAATTTGGGGGCTTTGGGCAATAAATTCGAAGTATTCCATGATAGCTTCCTACTATAATTTTATCTGCAACAAAAAAAAATAAATAAGAATTCAGTTGTCTAACTTGAATATCATTTTTATCTATTGCTAAAAATTTTTCAGTTCGCAACTGCAAGTCAAGAAATAAGTCAAGATTTTTCCCTAGCAAATCCGAGAAAAAGCTTAACAAGACGAATAATTTTTTTTCTATAACACTTCAAAACATATTAACAGTTTTGGCCATAGATATCATAAACAATAACAAAGAGAGCTCGTTAGCAACAAGACTAGACCTCGACTTGAAATTTTAGATAATAATGTCAATCCTGAAGTCACGTTATTCGCAATAATGGTACTAAGTCCTGGAAAACTAACCGAAAATGTTTCGTTAAACGAAAAATTTATATAATTAAGCATGGCAATCGCTAACACATGAAGTTCCTCTGAGTCTTAAACGATGAAAAAGAAAAGCTCCATTCGATTTTTTGTAGTTCGCGACTTCCAGTTCTTGCGATGGAAACCCATAAAATCACCGGACACTTGGAGATGCTTGCAGTGAATAGATCCTTCGCAAACTTACCAAATTCTGAAGCATTATTATCAATATTTGCCACACACAAGCAACCCAAATCAAATTCCTCGTCGCTACCAGCGTAAGTTGCCCACCAATCTCTCGCTTTGAACAGCGACATCTTGGAGAGGAAGCATTTGTTGTACCGCGGTTACTCAAACAAAGTCACGTGATATGTCAGTTCGAGGTCTGCGAAGACTTGACACCGAAGTTTTGCCGAAGATGTCCGATTGTTCATCCCAAAACAGAACGGGGGCTTCAAATGTGTTTTGATGCTCTTGAGCACAAACTTGCAGCACATCGCACTGGCGCGTTTCTCGAAAGTCTTCATTCCTGTAACATGTGCTTTCAGAGAAATTTTTGCGCCCTACAGCTGTATTTCGGTTTTTGCCGAGGTATGGCGGGTTTGGGCATCCCCCAACGCCCCCCTCCTGCAGAAAAAAATAATTACAATAACACCTGTTATGCAGGCTCCTAGGTCGCCTTTCTCCCCTCAATCCCCCCTATTTTTTTGAGGTGGGGGTGGAGGGAACGGGGTACAGGCTGCGATCTGTGACTGCGCGGATTCGTTTAAGGTTAAGAGAAAATCACGCTTAGGGTCAACGAGGTCCATACAGCTGAAACTAAGCCCAGTAGACCCCCGAGAGTGAGACCGTTGGGGTCTTTTCTACCTCCTCTCCCCCCCGGCGCTCGTCGCATCTCCGTGCGGGCGGCCATATTCGTAGTCCGTTCCCGAACACCAACAAGCTATCACCTTTGGTCTTTGATCATGTTGACGATCAGGCGGCTTCGTCATCAATAAAGAAAGGATGGTACATGGGATTCTGTGCGTTTTATTTCCAGTCCTCCAAGGAGTCAAATGAGGAGTTACTAGGAGAATACCTTACTGGGAGAATACCTCTTGGGCCCGAATGGAAAGATCCTTTAAAATTTTCAAAAGCGTTTCAAATAACAACAATAGATAATGTAAGATTCTTTACTTTCAAACTCTTTCTGTATAAAATATCTTGTATCCCATATATGATATACAAGTTAATGTGTTTAATAGCGCATGGCATTTCCCTTCCAAGTCGTAGCGTTCCCACTTTGAGGTAAAGGCACTGGGAATGAGTTTACTGTAAAGGGAGCACTATCCTGTACTTCACTCTATACGAAAATCACCACATAAATAGACACACAGCTATGTCAATAAAGTGTCCAGATGATAAATAATTGGATCTATGGTTTCTTTTGTCAAGTGTTTGCTTGTGGCATCAGACGTGGGAAGCGACGACAATGACGACGTGGGAGAAAACGTCTCTTAAACGGTGAATCCTCGCTGTTTTAAATTCGTATCTCTTATTCCATGTCGTTTAATCAAATTTTTTAATTTGGCGAATTTTTCTGGAGTTGAATTCTACTGTTTTCTCAAAAGATTTATAAAATCGTCATTTTGTGTTTACCTCCTCAAGAAAACGCGAAAATAAGCACTTTCACGTCGTAGTCATACACTGACGACAAAGAAATGTACAGAAAAGCGTGATGCTCGTGCAAAGTTGTTGTTCTGCTAATCTAAACCTTTTCTCTTTTCGCCGTACTCGTTGCCGTCACTGTCGCGGTCGCCGTTGCTTATGTACCACGTACGGCCAAAGAGAAGGATCCGTCGGGGTTTGGGGAGTGGAGCCCTTCTCTTTCGTCTCTAGCTCTTATTCTCTGTACGCCCTCATCAATGTGATTTGTGCTATTTCTCGAATAACGAAGCCCTGACCTATGTGGCTCAAAAAGAGACGAGGGCGCACTAAACCTACGTAGTCTGCTACACAGCCGTTTTTAGAGTGGTCACGCAACGCTCCTCCCCACAATCAAGGCCGTGTTTGAATGAGTGACCGTGGTTCGAACACCTTCCAGAAAATAGAACCTGAATGAATTCTAATCGGCTAAATGTGGGAAAGGAATGTGGTTCGGTTCTCAGCAGCCGTTGGTTGGGAGGAGTGTTGCGTGACGACGCTAAAAACGGCTGTATAGCAGAAGACACTATACTAAACCATATGATAAAAGTAGATTCTGTGCCCCTTTGGTGCTGGCAGGGGTTGCGAAGCATCCTGCAAAATCTCTAGCCTTGATTTTCAGCGTAAGTTAGTGCCTGTACACTTACACCCAGTCAGTCGCCTTAGTCTTTTAAAGAGCAAAACTTTCTCTTTGTGAACTACATCAGAAAGTGTTTCGTGATAGAGCTGCCATTATTCCATTGTCCCCATGCTCTAAGAGATCTTTCTTTATTGTTCAGAATTCTAGCTTAGGCTTCAAAGACTTGTGGGCTCTGATCTTCTTCAGAGGCCTTGCCTGCAAGGCCAAAAAGGTCGGCATACTCCTGTCACGATTTTCATTCACCATTAATCCCCGGATTCTACTATTAGCTGCTTGAGTTCTTTCCGTCCTTTCCGCGTTTTATACTCCATGTAAGCTCGTCCTCCAAATATGCTTAATATAAGTCCAGCTCCCATGGAGATAGCTATCCACGCAGCAAAGCTTAAATATGGGTCTGAAAATAACCAGAGAAATGAAAATGAGTTAGAGCAAGATTTTTTTCATGGTTCGATTTATCTTATGCTTTGGCAACTAACTTAGGCTGAGTGTACACTACAGACACTATATAACCTGATATCTTTTCATGCTGACATGAAAATTACTCTGGCTGGTATGAACAGAAACAGACCAGAACTGGAGCAAATTGTCCACACACACTGAGCATCGACCGGAGCTGTTGGTCGAGAGGTATTGGTGCACTATTATCACTCCTCTGCTGCAACACTTTCGTCTTAGTGGGTTCCCGTTCTGGCTCTTACTCATTCACTTCCACTGCCGTCCTAAAACCTGTTCAAACTACACCGAAGTGTGGCACAGAAACCGTAACTAACGTAACGTAACGCTTGCTTTCTTTCTGTTAATGTAACGAGCTGGTTCTAACCATGATTTTGCGCACTTCTTTAAGCATTTTAAAACTTAACAAAAAACGTTCCGTTACCTCGACTCTTTTCGCAAATGAAGGGCAACTCAATGTTGCAGTTCAAGTCAAACCAACTAACAACGTCTTTCCAACTCTTGATCTGAACACAATCTTCTCCTTTACATCTCTGAGGTGTTTTGAAAGGATCGTAATGACGATCGTTTGGCTCTCCGATATCCCAGTTAAGGTAAGAGGGTCTTTTGCTGAACTGACCTTGGCCAATATCATTCCAGACGTATAATCCTGTGAAAATACAATTAAAACTGTATTTGTTTCTCAAACCTATAATAGTATGGATAGAAACATTATATACTGCAAATATAAAGAAGTCAGTTGATGTTAAGGATGATGATGATGATGTTGATGATGATGATGATGATGGTGATGATGATGATGATGATGATGTTGATGATGATGATGATGATGTTGATGATGATGATGATGGTGATGATGATGATGATGATGATGATGATGATGATGGTGATGATGATGATGATGATGATGTTGATGATGATGATGATGATGATGGTGATGATGATGATGATGATGATGATGATGGGGAAAATGATGATGATTATGAAAATGATGACGATATATGGTGATGCACGTTTCGTCTCCGTACAAATGAACAAGTTATTCCACAGGTTTTCTAATAGCTTCAAAACCACCAAACGTTTAGCAGACTATCGTAGATTGTCCTAACCTCCCACGCAGACGTCCTTAGGCCTTCGTCACGAGTTCCTCCCCCACGAACGTCGGCGTGGAGAAGGAGCGCGTGACGAAGGCCTAAAAACGTCTGCGTAGGGGGCTAAGATTTAGGCCCCGTCCACTCGTATCTGGATATTTTTGAATCCGCAACTTTTTCTTTTTGGATTATAAAAATTTCCACGTCCACACCTATCCGTATTCAAATCGAATTTACCCCATCCTCGGAGATCTTTACTTTTCTTCGCACCATTTTTTTCCGCCCGTTTAGTCTTTCGGGTCTCCGAGGATGAATTTACCCGTCCACACGTATCCGACACGTACCTGGATTCACTCTAGTACCCAGGACACCTCTGGGAATATTGACCACAGAGCATGCGTCATAAGGCGGCAGCCATCGTGAACAACCTCGTTCCCAGTGTCCTCTCCTACTTCTCCTTGGACGGATAAGAGAGACAACCTGGGAACGAGGTTGCCATCTTAAATACAGTATTCACCGTAAAGAACTGGGCTCGATCTTGTCACGTCACCGGATTAAAAAATATCCGGATTTAGCGTCCAAACGATTCAGGATTCATACCGTATTCAAAAATTTCAACTCTGGAGAGCGGATTCGTATGCCGGATTCACCTGATGCAAGTGGACGGAAGCCTTATGCAGAAAGGATAAGTTGCGGATTCAAAAATATCCGGATACGTGTGTCTTGAATAACATGCCATCAAATATATAACATGCGCTTCAATACACCAAACAAGTTTTTCTCTCATTTCTTTTCGGTATTGCTCATATTGCATTTTGTATAGTTCTTCATTTCATTGGAAAATTACGGTTTGTGTGCGAATTTGCGCGAGCAGATATCGTGAAAATATATAATCCCACGTACCAGCCTCTACTCTATCGTTGAGTCCAATCCAGATGTTGGTTTTTATTAAACTTCCAACAAAACTGTTTTCTGACGAACTCGATATCGTTACTAAAGTAGCATTCCTGCTTCGGCAGCGTTGTTGTGCCCAGTCCCATGTGACTGTATCGCGGACATACAAGTAGCACTTTCCATTCTGGCACCTCCATCCAGAGAGATCTGGGAACGAGATAAAACTGAAGTTATCAGCGGTAATCGCGATAGTTCGGGTTACACAGACCTCTTTCTTGGATAATAACTTTTGGGTGGTTTTAGCAGGCATAGCATTAATATAAAACTTGAAAAAGTTAGCCCAACTTTTTCAAGTTTGAATCCATTGCATAGTTTCAAATCGAGAGGGGCTGGGTACGAGTCGGTTTTTTTTATGCGTTTTTTTTATGGGATAAACGACACGAAACCAGCATAGTCAGAAAGAGCACATTGAGGTTATAAAAAATCTGAAGTTTGGTGTCAATCGGGTCAATATTGAACAAGATACAGCTATTTGCATAAACTTGAAAATTTAGAAGAGATGTATGGTTGTTCGGACGTCTATATATTACTTTAATAGTAAATTTTGGAGTTTTTGAATGGATGTATCTCGTTCAATATAAGCCCGATAAACACAGAACTTGAGAATGTTGCTGATTTCAATGTGCTCGTTCTGATATATGGGTCTCGTATTGTTTATCAAATAATAATCGACTCGTACCCAGCCCCTTTCGATTTGAAACTTGGCCATGTCCATCGTTGCCATCAGTAGCAACAGACTACAGGAAACAGTTTCACAACCTCGTCCCCAGGGTCTTCTCGCTTTCCAATATGGCGGTAGCATATCTTCTCTCCTGTCACCGCCATATTGGAAAGCGAGAAAACCCTGAAGACGAGGTTGGCAGTTTCAATGCCAACCTCGTTCTACCCGTCCCTACGGAGCGAGAGAGAGAGAGGAGAGAGAACCTGGGAACGAAACAATGCCTCAAGATAAACTCAAATAACAATACTGGACTATTATTTTTTGGAATTCAACTGATGCAAAACACGTTTAGATTTTTTAAAAATAAAGCAACCAAATGAATTTAGGTGTCACACTTTCTCAATGACGTTTGTTGGGCTGTCTCTTTTTTTACAGGTGTGTAGAGAAGGCCATATCGTTTCAATAGTTTGGCTCTATCTCTTCCGACCCTGCTCGCCATTATAGTTCCAGTAGCTCAGTGGTTAGAGCGTCCGAACTAGAACTCGGAGGGTCGTGAGTTCGATTCCCGCTTGGAGCTCGGAAAATGTTTTTGAGCTTTCAGGTGTTTGAATTCTCCTTCTTCTTTAATTTATATATCGCACCTGTTTTAGAATTCTTCTGGCATACATAAGCTATATGAGCCTTGCAAACCACGTCGTTCCATTTCTTGTTTGAGTATTTCATCTCCACGCAGGTTTCAACATTACAATGACCGTTAAAGTTATTTGGCTCAGGGTTCTTTGGATCGCTCTTGTCCCAGAAGAAAAGACTCGGTTTCTCATATCTGTTGTAGTTCCAAAGAAATTTGTGTTCATTACTTCTGTCGTTTAAACCTATCCAAGCTCCATGGCCTGATTTTAGAAGGCTGCCAACAAAGCTGCAAATTGAAAAATAAATAACAAAAACAAATTAGGATACCTATACTGAAGACGTTCTAACTACCTACGCCCTGTCATTTGGTCCAAACTCGATAGATCTATTCGATCGTCTGAATCTATGAGCATTTTCAAAACGCGTTTATTAAACTGGTTAATTTAACAAGCCTGCTGGACAGCACTTGTAAAGAATGTTTTTTATGTCACAACTAATGACTGATTTTACGTGTGGACATACATTTCACATTTTATTGATTATTAGATTATTTCATTGACTATTAGACAAGTAATTGTAGTTAGGTGTCCCCAATTAGTGTACATTGTATGCTAGCGACCTCCACACTATAATAAAGTTCTTAGTTACATACTTACTTTCTTACTGACTGACTGACTGACTGATTGACTGACTGAATGACTTACTTACATAATTACTTACTTACTTACTTTCTGACTAACTGACTGACTGACTTACTTACTTACTGACTGATTGACTGACTTACTTACTGACTGACTTACTTACTTATTGACTGACTGACTGACTTACTGACTTACTGACTGACTGACTGACTTACTTACTGACTGACTTACTTACTTATTGACTGACTGACTGACTGACTTACTTACTTATTGACTGACTGACTGACTTACTGACTTACTGACTGACTGACTGACTTACTTACTGACTGACTTACTTACTTATTGACTGACTGACTGACTGACTTACTTACTTATTGACTGACTACTGACTTACTGACTTACTGACTGACTGACTGACTTACTTATTGACTGACTGACTTACTTACTGACTGACTTACTTACTTATTGACTGACTGACTTACTTATTTACTTACTTATTGACTGACTGACTGACTGACTTACTGACTGACTGACTGACTTACTTACTGACTGACTTACTTACTTATTGACTGACTGACTGACTGACTGACTTACTTACTGACTGACTTACTTACTTATTGACTGACTGACTGACTGACTTACTTACTTACTTACTGACTGACTTACTTACTGACTGACTTACTTACTGACTGACTGACTTACTTACTGACTGACTGACTTACTTACTTACTTACTGACTGACTTACTTACTTACTGACTGACTGACTGACTTACTTACTTATTGACTGACTGACTGACTTACTGACTGACTGACTGACTTACTTACTGACTGACTTACTTACTTATTGACTGACTGACTGACTGACTTAGTTACTGACTGACTTACTTACTTATTGACTGACTGACTTACTTACTGACTGACTGACTTACTTACTTACTGACTGACTTACTTACTTATTGACTGACTGACTGACTTACTTACTTACTTATTGACTGACTGACTGACTTACTGACTGACTTACTTACTGACTGACTTACTTACTTATTGACTGACTGACTGACTGACTTACTTACTGACTGACTTACTTACTTATTGACTGACTGACTGACTGACTGACTGACTGACTGACTTACTTACTGACTGACTTACTTATTGACTGACTGACTGACTTACTTACTTATTGACTGACTGACTTACTTACTGACTGACTGACTTACTTACTTATTGACTGACTGACTTACTTACTGACTGACTTACTTACTTACTTATTGACTGACTTACTTACTTACTGACTGACTGACTTACTTACTTACTGACTGACTGACTTACTTACTTATTGACTGACTTACTTACTTACTTACTTACTTACTTACTGGCGTTTTAAGTGCTTAAGCCCCATTTGTCTTTTTGCCCTAGTCCCCACTCTGTTGATCTCAAATGGTCGTTACGTGTAATTACATCAAACGAGCAAAAAAACTGTACTGCCTTCAGGGGAATTCATTTAAGCAAAGCTTCGCAAAAAAAACCCTCCGAAAAGACCTCGTTCGGGTAATACGGGTTTTTACACACAAGGCCGTCGCACGACGTCGTTCCCGGCTCGGGACCGTTCATCTTTCGTCCAAGGGACAGGTAGACTAGAGACCCTGGGGGCAGATTTGAAGGCCATAGGTTGCTTTCTTACCGATTCTCCTCTTTACTTTCAATTGTAGCGAGTTTAGCTCTAAAAGCTGCCTGACAGTAGTAATAAGAGTTCAACCAGGTCTTTGGACTGGAGAAGTAGCGAAAGCATTTCCCATTGAAATGATGCCAGTCTTTCACACACACCGCTTTGAAAAATATGAAAGAAATACGATCAGTCAGGTGCTAATCCTAATGGTACAAAGGTATGTCGAATAGATAAATTCTCTGGGTAGAAACCCATCAGTCGAGCACCATGAAGCAGTGTCCGGCTTTTATCCAGCTAAAAAGCTGGATAGAAAGAGGCAGGAAGACTATGTGGAGCAACGTTTATTGCCTAAGGAGACAACCCGAAGGTACCTACAGCTAGTCTGTTCCGAGTGTTCAGATAGTGGGGCGCGGCGATTCCTTCTTTTTTCTTCTCCGTTCTTCACTTCGCGCCGTCCTAGCCTGAATTACGGGCGTCATTCAACCGAGCGCGGAGCGCAAGACGAGGGTAAGAGAACCCTCGCCTGTAGGCGTCCCCACGCTTGTCTCTTGCTCTTTGCGCTCGGCTGAGTAGCGCCTGTTTTTTAGGCTGGGCCGTGCGTGCTCTCTGACAGCCTGAAACAGGATAAGCCTATCTTTGAATCTGGTTGATCTGTAAACGCAATGTTACCTTGCATCTGCCGTGATTGTAGTGTAGAAGTGTTGACTATGTGCTCGCAATTCATACTGCCATTACCACACTATACGGTCACAGAGTTTACAAAGTAAAAGAAAATATTGGGAAACTATTGCTCTCTTACTAACCTTGGCAGGCTTTTTCACAACCTTTTAAATCAGTCTCTTTCTCGTTAACTTCACAGCCTAGAGAGCGAAGAAAAGCACTATTACAGAAAATTTAAGGTGAAACCTAAGCTGCTTTTGATAGCAAAGCCTGGGAGAAGGAGAATACATCCGAAAAAAATCCCGAATATCATCGAGGAGACTGTCACTGCTGCTATATAGCAAACTATAAATTGATTTTGCGATAATTTCTATGATTTCTAAACGGGGAAAAAGCAATACCCCTACTGGTATGGCCTCACATGCAGACGTTCTTTTGGCTCGTTACACAATCCTCCATCCCCCACGAAAGTCTGCTGAAACAGTGGTTCAGTGGAGGGGCGGGGGCGCTCAAGGGAAGTTTGGGTAGAGGTGTGCCGCAGAAGCGGTGCCACAAATGTAGACCGTTCATCTGCACCCTTCACACTCTCTTAAAGGCTTCCGCTCCAGAACACACTCTTTTCAAGACACTGAACAGTAAAATTGTATACCCTGTTTAAAACTCAATACCCTGTTCAGCGGCACATACCCGTATAGGCCAAATAAGGGACCGACCACTATTAAGTTTTTGACGGGGGCTGGAAAATTTTCACATATACCTACTTTTTTGTAAGCGGGTCCTACTGCAAACAGTTTTTGTTGTCTAGGTCTTCCTGCAAACACATTTTTTTTCTTGCGTACAATTTATTTCAGTGTTTACAGCCTCTGCAAAAAATTTATTTCAAAATTTTCCAACCCCCCTCCCTAAAGGAGTGGCCACCCACGGTTTCTCTTTGAAGGGAAGAAGGGCTGCGTGACGAAATACAAAATGTAAAGAGCAGACCACCACCGACCTCGGACAACCAGCCAGTATTGGGTCACTTCCAGGCCCCCTGTTGTCAAGACCTCGGATGAGTATAACGCCGTATCCACCTCTGTTAGGTGTGTTATTCGAAGCGTTCTCCGATTTCCTGAGATACTAATGCGATCATTTTCAACCATTGTCGAAGTATGCTGTTTTTTCCAAACAAATGTAGACGATGAGTTGAGCGCGAAGTAATGTTCAGCCCGAAAATCGACGCATTCTCCTCTTTTCTTTTCGATGAGGTTCTTGTTTATTTTTAGAACTCTCTGAGCTGCAAGGAAAATGGGCAAAAAGAAAAACTGAACTACGTCGCGAACACGTAACCTTCACCTAGGGTATTTTCTTAATCGGGGAAGTGGAGCTTAACAGTCTAGTAGAAGAACAACAAAAACAGTAACAGCAAAAAGAAAGTTAAGAAAGCTAAAAGGGGCCACATGCCCCCCGGGGGGGGGGGGTACTCGATATATCCTTGGGTAGGGAGGTGTGGCCCGGCCCCTCATACCCTTACCCTGTTTAAGACATTTAACCCGAAACCATACCCTGTGTAAGACAATAATAAATATCGAAACTCTTTCGTATTTACTCCATTGGCAATCACGAAACTATATAAAAAGATACGCTGTTTAAGACAAAAAATGATGAAATCGATACCCTGTTTAAGACAAAAATTCCGAAAAACATACCCTGGCTGGCTGAACGTCCCCATTAAACCCTTATAAGGGGTACCCGCCTCCCCCCCTCACCCACCCGTGCCACATGCGTGGCAAAAAAATCTGGCAAAGATTAAGGCTATGTTCATATTTATAATACCGGCTAGCTTTTCCGTCGTATCCGGTGTAGAGTATATAAACACCTATGCGACATGATATGTGACTCTCCACTTTAGAGATCAGAGCGGCGTGGCAGCTTCGCTCCGTTGCAGAAATCGAGCCGAAATCACCGTTCTCATGTGTGAACAGAGGCCCTATCCTGTTTGGTTTTCGTGTCGGTGCAAAAGCTGCTATCCGGTCCAGTGTAAACATAGTCTCCCCTCCCCTCAAACAAATTGATTTTGTTTAGAAGATGGAGTGGCTGTACACAGGGTAGCCTGCGTAGCTGGCGGTATTGTGTGATTAAAGTTTTGGCGGCGGAGCCGCGATCCAAAAAAAAAGGAGTGGGGACGAGGCGTTTGAAATACTGGCGGTATTGTGTATTAGGCGAGGGAGATTTGGCGGCGGAACCGCTGTACAGGTCGAGTGAGAGTTGGCGGCGGAGCCGCCAGAAATACGTATTTCAAACGCCTCGTCCCCACTCCTTTTTTTTTGGATCGCGGCTCCGCCGCCAAAACTTTGATCACACAATACCGCCAGCTGCGCAGGCTAGCTATACACAGGGTAGACTTTTTCAAGCTTATTTCCATTTGTTCCGGAAAGAGTGACCAGCACCCGGGACCAGCAGTCCATACAGCTGTTGTAGTTTCCTTTGCATGCACGAGCAGTCAGTCGGTACCGACCGCTACTTACGGGATTCAGGAGCTATAAGCTTTGCCTTTCGTAGGGAATTTTCATTTTGGGCAGAAGCATATAACCCCTGTTTTGAGGGGATAGAGAGATCTAGAAGTAAGCGAATACAGTCATGATAAAATCATTTTACTGTCTGACCTGACTGACATTGACAGACTGTATAAGGCCCGGTTCAGACGCCGATATTTTCATGAGCCGAACCTAATTCGAATTAAGGCCGACCCAAATTATTTAGACCGGCCGAATTGATTCAGACGCCTATAAGTTCAAATTCGAAAAATGCTAATTTCGGTCGAATTGCTTACCGAATACGTTGTAATAATTTATGTATTAGGTTCGGTACATGAAAAGTTCGACGTCTGAACCAAAGCTGTTCCAAAGTCGCTTCAAAGGCGAAATTCTCGGCCAGGCTAGGATAAAAGACCGGCTGAGCCGTTCCAAATTGAAACATGCGTTCCTAATTGATTCAGACGCCCATCTTTTCATGTACTTAATTCAATGTATTAGGTTCGGCTCATGAAAAGTTCGGCTTTTGAATCGGGCCTAATTTTATTCTTCTTATAAATAATAATTTTAATGTGTTAGTCAGCGAAAGACCCTTTCATCCTTTCACACAAAGAGCAGCATTTTTGTACACACAACAAATCTCAGTGTGTTTTTGTTTATTCTAAAGTAGGTGGTGGCTAACTCGAAAGCAAATTCTACTTTGCCCACCACACATTCAATATACCAATTAATTTATTTTATCTTAATTAATTGACTATTCATATTATTCAAGGCAGTCTGTAAGTTAAATCTGTGAACTTTTACTTGAATAGTATGAAATAGAATGAACATCCAATGAATCAACGAACCCTCCCCTCCAGAACCGAAACCTACAATCATAAGATTAAACCCTAAATCGACACAAGTTTTCGCGGGTTTACAAGGCTATATCGCACAACGGATTAAGACCCTTTTTTCATTTGCTTACCCTTCGGCTGCCCCCAGTATCAGAGTCGTATCCTGTCTAACAGTCGCTTTTCGTTTTGAAAATGAGCACGTGTAGTTTTAATTAGTGAGCTCAAGACGAGACACACTTTCTGCACCGCGTTCATTCGCAAGCCTCGCGAACTATCTCCAACTGTATAGAATCCTTCGTAACTTAGGGGTAAGCGAAGAAAAAAAGGGAACTGGACCTGCTGTCCTCTCTCCCCTTCTGATTACAATATTGGCTACGAGAAATGAAACACTGACGCTGTTGCTGTAAGCACAGGCTACCCACACAATTTGTTGATCGGAACAAATACGGTATTTCGCACTTCCGGACCCTCATGCATGGTCTCGTCTGGGTGAAAAAAAAATACTTGGCTAGATAATTACTGAAATAACATTTCCCTTGGTGGGTAATATAATATCAGTTTCGAGAGGAGATTCGGCTCACCGGCGTGATCCCTGAATGGAATAAAACTTGAAAACGATGTAATCTGCTTATCTGTCGGTCTTTCAGGGCTTTGTATATTATCCACTCAAACAACATTGTTCCCACAGAACACACAGTGAAAAATTAAAGAAGGCAAAATTTTGTGACTGCACGGAACTTTCATTCTACTGAAAATTGTCTCCTTATCTACAACAGGAAAAAAATTCACTCATACGACTACACAGATGATTAAATGTTTGTTATGTATATGACTAGTACTACATAGATTTTTTGAGGATGATTATAGGTTTGAGCTCGTTGTATACCGATGTCCATTCAGTTATGTCAAATCATTTGCTACCGCGAAGTATTAACGAATTTTAATTTTCAGTGACAAAAATTAAATCATCATGATTTAATAATTTCATCCTCACCTTCAATAATCCAGGCTAAAAATGACACCATTAGAGACAGAGGAATAATCTTCATCTTCTTGGCCTCAAAACCCGGTTGGTGCGTGAAATTTTCAGTTTGTTGATAAAAAGCTAAGATAGAGGTCCAGATGGCGTTTTTTGCTGTCCTCGTCTTTGAAATCTCAGCTGAATGTTACGATGTGGTAAATGAACACGGTAGATGCGTTTGGAAGCAAACGTGACTCGTAGCATAAATGTTGAAGGCCAACGTAAAGATCTAAGCCACTTCAGAAACACTTTGGGTTGATTTTAGCGACTCTGGAATGCCGTTGATAATGAATTTGTTGTACGTCAATGAACCCAGACAACGGAAGTTAATGTTTACCAGTGATTACTAGATGACTGCTATTCAATTGCAAACCTTGCTCAATTGTTGTACTAATGAAGTTTTTATCATGTATTTCAAAACATTTAAAACGGCGATTTCAATCCAAATAGCACCAATAATAAAAATCAGAAAAAAAATTACAGTTATTTTTTTTCCTTGCAGCTATTCACATGCCAGGTTCACATGACGGCAGTGTGTCAGTATTGTTCTCTCCGCAGGACATTTCCTTGGCAACAAAGTTTGTAGATTTGTCACGTTACGAGCAATCATACAAGCTGACTCCTTTGACTCTGTGAAAGGGCTTCGACCACTGGTTGCCCACATCGCGCAGAATATGACATTATTTTAAATTACCATATTTCCTCGAATAATGGCTGTCCCTCGATTGATCGCCTCCCTCAAATAATCGCCCCTCCCCGCCCCTCTCGCCATCTTCTCTTCCTTTTTTCCCGTCCCTGTCAAGTTGTAGTGCAACGAGATTCAGCAAAACTGATCGTGAAGATTCAAGCTCTAAAAATTAATCTAGGAACTAAATTTGGAACACTTAAAAAACCCATGTTCAGTTTTTTTGACATGATTATTTTTTGATTTAATGGGAAAATAAATCACAAAATATTTACGGCACGACTTCTAGTGAGCAATATTTGATATAATCGCCTCCCTCGAATAATATCGCCCCATTTTTGTGCCAAAAAAGAAATAATCGCCCCTGGCTATTATTCGAGGAACTACGGTAACTCCTGAAAGAGAAAAAGAGCACTCTTACTGGTTCTTTTTTTAACTTTATGGGTAAAGTGCTAAGAAACCGGAATCCTCAGCTTGGATTACGATCAACCTCGTTCCCAGTGGTCTCTCCTACCCTCCCTACGGAGCGAGAGGGCGGGTAGGAGAGAACCCTGGAAACGAGGTTAGGATTGCATAGGGTGACCTTATACCTCAGGAGATTACGTTGCATACTGTGCATTTTGATGGGTCTATCCTTCCGCTTATGCTTCCGACTCCGACAATCTAGATTTTACTCGATCGTGAACGACGGAGTCCTAACTGTAGTCGAAAGATAATGGAAATGTTTGATTCTTCCAACTCTGATTCCGTCGCGCTTATGACTCTGCTTCGCGACTCCGATTATTAATTTTCACTAGCTCACAAGCTCCTCTTACGACTCCGAATCTAGCCTCCCATTAAGTGGGGCAGGAACGCGTGACGTACCCCTAAGAAGTAGGCCTTTCCCGATTGTGCTCGTAAAATACTGGAAGGTTGCTCACTGGAATGCCAAAAAAGTTGCTACCTAAATTTCAAAAGTTGCCACCTAAATTTCTTGATATTTTTAAATAAACGTTGATTAAAAGCTTTATTTTCAGTTGTTCACAATAATTACTAACATCGGTCAAGAAAAATAGCTGGAAACTTAAGCTATTTTTAATTTAAAATAATAAAATAAAATTTAAAAAATATTAAAAATTAAAAAATATGGTAAACATTCAAGAAATTCGCGTTCGTTAGAAGTTTCTATGAAATCGTTGACTTTTTCTCGCTTGATATGTGCTCTAAACCTATAGATTTTGCTCAAATTGAAGTTGCTCATGATATCAGAAAGGCAAAATTTGCTCGAGGTTGCTAGAACCGCAAAAGTTTGCTCCAAACGCCAAAAGTTGCTCAAAAGTGGCCGAGCACAATCCGGAAAGGCCTAGCGTGGGAGGCTGATCCGAATCCGACTCCGGCTCCATCGCTAGTAGTCCGGCTACACAGACGTTTTTAGTGTTGTCACGCAACGTTCCTCCCCACCAAGTTTGTGGGTAGAAGCGCTGCGTGATAGACTGTTCACAGTCCTCTATTTTTCCGTAAGATCGTCGAGATCGAGCGCTTTGCGTTTCGGGCTGCATCTTGCATGAGTGTCAAAACTACTTAGGGGGCAGGGGGCGGTTTTTTATAATCCCCGACGCCCGCCCCCTCGGTACATTTGAAAACCAAGATGGCTGTCATTAAAAGACGCGCTATATCTCAACGATCTCACGAGAAAATAGGGGACTGTGAACAGTCTAGCTGCGTGACGACACTAAAAACGGCTGTGTAGCGGAATACATCGCTAGTGACCAGGAGTTTTAGTTTCATTTTTGCTCATCCTTTAGACCCTAATCATTTTGGTATATATCTATTTTTGTTTTACTATTTTACTGATTTACTCGTTCGTCGCTTTTTCGCCGTCAGGATCTTGGCTCTGACGAAGCCACGAAGCTCTAGCCACACTCAAAACTTACCCGCGAGCGGCACGCGAAAGGAGACGCGAGACTAATGGTCGGTTCTTGTTATTTTTTTCATTTTCTATTTTTTTATGTTTATTTGTTTGGTTTTTGGATTACGGTATAGTTAAGATCTATCATCTTGAGGTTTGTTATGTTTTGTTGTTGGGTACCCTGTTTTCTAGTCAGGGGCACCTAACGACGGTTTCCTCCTAAGAGGGGAGAGGAACAGAATAGGGAGGAGGGAGAAATCGGGGCGAAAATGTAGGGAGGAGGGAGAAAATGAAATGTTGGGAGTAGGAAGATATCAATTAGAAGGTAATTTTATGCGTGATGACAAGGGATGGGGGGACGGGAAATTTGACATGCACTGCAATCCTCTTGGGTCTCCTGGGACTCCCTTGGTCGGACTTAACCGAGAAAGCATGGAATCAAACTTTGATATATCTGAGGTTACCAGGTTTAAAAATTGGCGATGAGCAACACACGCCCCTGCACTTGATCGTATTGGAAGTTATCTGACCTTAAAAGCTTCGCTCTAACTGATAGGTCCTTTAGCGATCTTTCCTTGCGATGTGATTCTCTTAGCAGTTGTTGGTTTTGTATAGGGTGCCATTTTCCTATAGGTATCTTCTTTAGGCTTGGTAAAGCTGGGTGGTATTGTGTAACAAAAGGTAGTAGTTTTTTACGTGCGAATTTGTTTCTCTGTTGAGGGCCGGAGCTGTTTTCCTGTCGACGAACCTCAGAGAAGTACTTTCTCACAATTATAGCGGCAGGGTAGCCTCTTTCTATCAGGCGATTTTCGAAATTTCCGATATTTTCCTCAACATTGGTTTGAGAAGAATTTTAAAATCCTTAGAAGCTTTATCGCTTCTCCTTTAATGAGGCCTTTCTTCACGCCTGGTAGGTGACGCGAGTAGCAGAGTTCTTGTACTGAAAAGTTTCTGTTAGTTGATAATGTGTTTGCACGTCTAGGATAGATTCCTTGTTGAACCTAACCCCTTTGTACACTTTTGTGTCCAAGAAAGTGATCTCTTTTTCTGACATCTCAGCCGTGAATTTTATAGTAGAGTGAAAGTTATTTGCCTCTTTCACAAAGCTCTATATTTTATCTAGACTTGACTTATCGTCAATATGTATTTTCCAAAACAGCGGTTCAATCGATTCAGCACAACTCATGAAGATACTAGCAAAAGCAACGTCTAATCTTTGTTCCCATGACTGTTCCATGGGTCTCTAGGTAGTTGCTACCGCAATATTGAAACGAGTTTTCTGTTAATATAAAATAGAGTATTTCTCTTAGATACTTGGTAGGTATGGGGGCTTTCTCTCCATAAAAATCTTCGTACGCGTGACATACGGTGGTTACGCCCTCTTTGCGTGGTATGTCGTGTGTTACCCGTCGCCAATTTTTAAACCAAGTTGAGGGATGAAGGGGAAATTGGCTGAAAAAGTAGGGAGGAGCTCCAAGGGAGATTTACCCTCACCCACTTGTCTGAATTTGTCGCCTATTAGGCAACCTCCACCTGATGTGAACTCGGATATGTTCATTTAAAGCCATTTATTTTTTCTTTAGTAACATATAAAATTAAGATTCTTGAAATTCTAAATTAATTCTAAATTGACTATTTTTTGCACGAAATTGGGTATTGCTGTATATCAATGAAAACCCGAAATGCTGCGCACAGCTGAGTCGATCCTCATGGATAGATTTACTTTTCTTTGTCTTTCCTTTGGACATCTGGTGCAATGTATAAACTAGTAATAGTTGACACTACAGCTGCCCCCGTTCTGTATATTGTCGGTCAAAGTATATTTTATATTCTTGCTCATTGTGTAGCTCCTTGAAATATACCGATTCATGATAAAGATTTTCACACATATAAATACAGGAAAGGTTCCATGCACAGTTTCAGTTCGATTTACACAGCTTTGATCAAAACATTCTCAGTTTCGAGAATAGTTTGTTCTAAACCATAATTTCTCTTTCACTTTTTAAATTCAGTTCAATTTATTTGCCGGAAAGTAAGCCTTAGAAATTAAAAGGACGTTTGATTAATTCACGATCGCGCATTCTAGTCTTATTTTAAACTTTATAGCGGAAGGATATCTGTGAGCAGGGAATAAGTCAGCACAGAATTTGATTGTCGGCGAATTTTTGTAATCGTCCATCGTTCTGCTAGTGTTAAGCTAGCTGTTATTCACTCGTTTTGCTTGTTTGGGGCTGAGTCTTATTCAGGTCAAAGAGAGAGCGTCTGGCAAGGTTTCCAATCAAACATTTGCGAACTCGTGTCTGGCAAACTCTCCAAGTGTTTATATATACGCAGTTATAATACGCACCTTATAACTTCATCTGTGCTTAACGAGTGTCTTTTGGTCCATAACTTTCAAAACAACTGCCCCAAAGAATGTCACTGATAACACGTAACGCAAAAGAGTATTGAAGTATGACTGCACAATAAATGTCACAAAATCTACCTAAGCGGTCCCTTCGAGATTTTCTGTCTTTACGTCATCCTAACCATTTCGTACTTGCGGGCGCAA